GTACGGTACTAAGGTACTAAGATTCAAGGCTCGAAATAATTTCTGGAGAGCCTTCAGACATTCATTTTAACTCGGTCACTTATCGTTTCTGGCCGGTCAAATTTATGAGATAAATAACTCTTAAAACAAGGGCTAAAAAATAGCTGTGGGTTCAGATATTTCGCGGGGTAGAGGGGCCGCGAAATTTGTTAGAAATCTTATCTAATACATGTCGATACAACATATTTGAAACTTATCTCGGCTATTGGGGCTGTTGATTGCCGTCAACTTCATCCCCACAACGAGCGAACAACATTCCAAAACTACCAGGCATAAGTTATGTTGGGGACAACTGGGCACTAGTTATGATGTTTTAAAAAGCTTTGACATTGGCTCATTTCTCGAGCGCTTTGTTGTTAAAATAGCAAGTGATTATCTCTGTTAAAAAACTTTAAACATGCTCGTCAAATCAGCACAAAATCAATCGATTTGTAGCGAAATTTGTCCAGGAAATTCCCACGAAATCGGCCGTTTTTATCTATTGTTTTTCGGCGAAGTTAGTCGCGAAAATTTCCGCGAAATTCGCGCGATATCAGCCGATTTTTCTGCGAATCTCTCTAAAAATCCCGCGAAACTTGACTTTTTTCTCCGCGACCGATCAGACGCCCTTAAGTTGTTGCTTAACTCATAAACAACGGTTGTAGTTGTATTTCACCCAGGATTTCAGATCAACGTTTCGCAATGCACAGCGACTCGCTACATACTGATAACAATTGAAACAACTGATTTCATTTTCAATACGATCCATTGTGACCGGTCAACATGACCGGCAAGACGAAAAGTTGACTGGTCAACTCCTCAATCAGTCCGGACATTGTCCGTTGACCGGCCGTTATTTCGAGCCCTGAAGATTACAGTACGAAAAAATTACAAGTGGGTCGTACTGATTTTTTTAATATCTTCATCAATTCTTTAACTGTCTCTGCCAACAACTAGCTCGTGATCAACTACCAGCCTCTGAGTCATTTGCCTATACCCAATAGTGCTACCACTGCCTCGTAGCTTCTCCTCGATATATAACTTCGCAAACCTGCCGTGGATCAGTCCTATTAGCTCTTCTTCCAAGACCACGACATCTCAGTATTCGCTTTAGTTGACGAATACTTAAGCAAATGCCGTGCAAAAGAAACAAACACATCAAGATCTCGCTGTAACCCAGACCTAGATGAAAGAAGTGGTCGATTATGTCGTCACGTTCTGCATGTGCTGGGAGAGAGAAATAGCCTGGCAGAACACATGAAGAGGGAATTACTATAGACAGTAACATCGTATAACGAAAAATTCTTGCGGCCATTTTGTTTGCGCTTAGATGTCATCGGATTTACTCCAAAGTCAGGGGGAAAAGTCGGAAAAAAAGTCGAGAAAAAAGTCGGCAAAAAAGTCGAGAAAAAAGTCGGGAAAAAAGTCGGGAAAAAAGTCGAGAAAATAGTCGGGAAAAAAGTCGAGAAAAAAGTCGGGAAAAAAGTCGAGAAAAAAGTCGAGAAAATAGTCGGGATTAAAGTCGAGAAAAAAGTCGAGAAAAAAGTCGGAAAAAAATTCGAGAAAAAAGTCGAGAAATAAGTCGGGAAAAGTCGAAAAAAAAGTCGGGAAAAAAACTTAAGTGCTAGAAAAAAGTCGAGACAGAAAAAATTGAGCGCAAAATTTGAATGGCACTTACTGGCCTCCGCCGGGTATCGGCTTAGCGTAGCTTCAGAGCCACACGCGCGAAGCGCGCGACCCTCACGAGTGCTTGTTTGACTGCTCGCGCGTACTTGAATAAACGAAAACTTGCACGAACTGGTCCATTCAACAACCGACATGTTTGGTGAATTAGTGTCTTTTTTGTTTTCACTTCAAAGCTTTCTTTTGGTAATTATTCTTATTGTAACACTCTATACCATTTTTTGCCTTCTGTTCCCTGATGTTCCTGTTTCTGACTTGGAGAAAAAAGCCGTTCTTATCACAGGATGCGACAGTGGTTTTGGTTACGAGCTCGCAAAGAAGCTCGATTCTCGAGGTTTGCAGGTTTTTGCTGGGTGTCTCACTTCAGACGGACAAGCTAAGCTGAGAAGTGAGTGTTCTACACGGATGACCACGTTAGGACTGGATGTTGTGAATCAGAGCGATATACAGAAGGCTTTAGAAGTTGTCAAATCGCTTCTATCCTCGAATGGTACAAACGGTGCGTGTCATAATTTTCATTTACCGCCCTTCAACAGAACAAAACAGCTTCCAACGGAACTGTAGAGACAATGGATCTGTCAGTTATTTCAGAATAGTGGAGTCCAACTCAGCAGTGATCATGAAGCTTGGCACCCGGCTTTGCATGACCTCTTTATTTGTGTGGGTTCTGGAAACAAATATTTTGCCCCCCTGGGTACAAAGTTGTCTCTGGAAGATTGAGCAAAAATTCGCAAATCCACGCAGCAAATATAAAATGAACAGAGCAGTATTAATTCTTCGAATGTCGCAACCTGATTTGTTGTAAGAAAGGTTTGATTCGTGGGAGTAAAACGTGCAACATTGTTATTCAACTCGTTTTGCAACAATTTTGCACAAGTTGAGTGTTTTGATGCTCGTGTTACCGTATCATAGTCATATTAGATCTCATTCTCATCATATTTTCTTATCTTTGGACAAATGAATGTGAATGGTGAGAAAAGGTACGCGCAGAGTCATTTGAAAGATCACGTAACATTGAAATTCACAGATATTCCACAGACGTGACCTGAAAATGGCTGGGTTAACATAGCCATATTTGGATTGGAAACACTTTAGGGTTAAAAATTTGGATGTACGTGTTTCACACGACCGGTTGTGCACGGAAACGGCACTTGACCTATGCCAAGAGAGTAAAAATATAAAAGAACACTATTTACTCCCTAAAAATTGTTCTGTCCCCCTTCTAAGCCTTTAAAAATTGTGTAGGCCAACTCAAACCTTGAATTACATTAAGGTAAGCTTTCTCTGGTGTGATCAATTTTTTCCCCTAATTTCTTGGCATAAATAATATTGGGCTTATAACTCCATGTCAGGATTTTGGTTTTGTACTGAGGCTGTTTGCTAGAATTTGTGACTGAAATGATCCCCCCATCCTCAGGAGTCTAATAAAGGGCTCAACAGCACGGGAAATGGCACTCACCACGCCCTATGGGTCATCTGTCCACCACTTTGTCTTGATAGAACCCATTTCTTCTGGCTGTTCCACAGACAGCCTGACAATGATGACTAAATGAATGATTTCTTTCAGGTTTATGGGCTGTAGTAAATAATGCTGGGATTGCAATGCTAGGCCCTTTTGAATGGCAGACCACAGAAGAAATGAGGAGAACGGTTGATGTTAATCTCTGGGGAATGGTGTTGGTAACTAAAACCTTTCTACCTCTACTCAAAAGAACGAAGGGCCGTGTTATTAATATTGCCAGTACATCTGGAAGAGTTGCTAGCCCTGGTGCCATGGCATATTCTATTTCTAAGTATGGTGTGGAAGCTTTCTCAGATTGTTTACGTAATGAAATGAAGCACTTTGGAGTTACAGTTCACATTATTGAACCAGGAAACTTTAAAACAAACATCTCAAGTGTTGAGAAAAACTGCCAGCAGTTAGAAAGGTTGTGGGCAAAACTTGATATGGAGACAAAGGAAAGTTATGGTAAAGGATATTATGACCAAGGTATAGTGACAATGCTATTTAAACTGGTAATCTTAGTTGATATCCATATTGAAAAGAACTCACACTTGATAGAGTTGATCCGCTCTTCTCCATGGGTATATTCTCCCACAATACTCACTGTGAGACATAACCGCAAAGGACTATGGCTTATCTTATGCACCTTAAAGTGCAAGTTAAACTGAAGAAATCAGAGTGGCTGAGTGTGGTAAACAAAATAATAATTATTAGAATTAATTTCACACAATCATTCCCAGCCACTCAGCTCCATTCATTTGCCTATCTTCAGGGAATCAGAAGTTTTGTACCTATGAGGGCCAACTGAATGCCCCCATCATTAAGTGCAAAGCAAAACTGCAAACTGAGTTACCAGTAACCAAGGTTCATATCCATGCTAGTAGTGTGAAGATATTTTAAGAAATTCACCATTTTTCTATTCTGTACTTTCAGCCATCACTTTCATTTCCACCATGTTGCCATTGCTTGGATCCACAAAAATCTACAAAGTGGTTAATGCTATGGAGCATGCTATCACATCTACTCGACCCAAATTACGGTACATGATAGGATGGGATGCCAATCTACTTTGGAGGACTGCTTCTTTTCTACCATCAGAGATGCAAGATTTAGTTTATTTTTCTTTTCCAAAACCCCAAGGAATTTCAGATTTCAAGAATGAAAGAGAAAGTAAGATGTAAGCAACATGGCTGCCTTGACATTATTTTGATAAAGTGCATTTGCAATGCAACCATGACAAAACCCTTAAAAACATTAGCGCAGCAATGCTTGCAGAGCTAATGGGACATTTTGCTTGATTATGTATCATGAGGTCATCGCTTTTCCATGGATCTCTACAACGGAGTGTTTTCACATGACGTCATGGCCGCCATATTGGTGTCCCAAAACAATGAAACGGTGGCCATGTTGGTGATTAAAACTACAAAATCAGCTGGCTGCGTCTCCCAGACCAGTCCTTTGGGAGTTGAACTCTTTTCTTATGCAAACGCTTTCTTTCGTTCCAATAAATTTGAATAGATGTTGCCCACGTGAGTGAAAACACTATAATAATTATACTGGAATAATGGTAATGATCATAAATGTAGTTAAAACTAATTGTTTTTATCTTCATTTTCATAAAGAGGTAAGGGTACTTGTGCTCTGAGGAGTGGCTATAGATGATGATGACAATGATTAAGACAATAGCCAATCAATAAACTTATGTTTAGACAGAGAAGGAAGAAAAATACATTGTTGTTGAAAGTGATGAGAAACATTTATTGCTGCATCTTCGTAAAGAGATTGAAAGAAAAGAATTATTTCGAAGATCAAGAATACATCAGAATAAATTTTACAGAGCAAGTAAAGTAAAGTTAAGTGTTCCAGGTATTTTTTCAATTAAAATAATACCACATTTACTAATACTAGGGTCTACTATATGGAATAACTCAGACATTAAAGACAACAGTACTGATATCTCTAAGCTTTTAATTTTCTTAAATGTTCAGTTTTAAATTAAACCAAACCAGTGTGAAAAAGTCAAAATTACAGCACTTACTGCACAGGAAATGAAAGCAATAATATACTCCAAATATTACAGTGCCACATTTTTAGTATCATTAAGTTACATTACAGGCACTTAAGACAAGATTTCAAATGACCACACATGTATTTTTTGCAAATTACTTAACTTTTATATTGTGAATTTCTTCAATGAAACAACAAAATGCAAGCGCAAGAATAAATCACACTGAAAATTAACAAATAGTATGAATTAACATGACTCGTCCTAATCAATAGCTTATCAATTTATCATCGTTTTTAATGGCAAGCAAAATGTGAATTAAATAGCATCAATATCCAAGTCATCATCATCCTCAGCTGGAGCTGTGTTGTCAACCTGAGCCTTTAGCTGCTGCGCCTTAGTATCATAGACTACCTCCACCTCTTCTTCTTCCTCCTCTTCACTGGACTCTTCTTCTTCTGCTTCTTTCAGCCACTTGATAAAGGGAGCCACCTTTGTGTGGATCTGAGAGCATACCTCTTTACTCACATACTTTTTGGAAACCTGTAAACGTAAAATTCATCACAGATTAGGGCAGTGGTTTGCCTGGTCAACTTGCTTATGCTATGGGCAACAAGGAAATCTTGTTTTCACACAACTTTTTTTGGGCATTCCGAATTATCCGTTCAGAGCTGCTAGATTGCACACAGTTTTTCTACGAGCAGAGTCTTGACAAAGTCTTTCATCTAAATCCTAAATTTGGCAATTCTACAATTCCAAAAAAGACTGGAGCATTCAATTCGATGTCATGTGTATGATCGATTCATGCTTCGTTTTCCAACTAATTTGTTCTTTCGTTTTCCTTTCATTATGAAAGAAAAACAAAAGCTCATTTTCTTTCTTATGCAAAAGAGAATGGCTGTTGAGTTGTTTGATGTGATCAGTATTTGACTGTTTACTGCAAAAAAGGCATCAAAACTGTGAAAAGCATAAACCTGTTGGTGATAGTTTGGATGATATCCATTGTTCAAAGTTTCAAAGTTATACTTTGACCCAGACCACTTTTGAAATGACCCAATTTAAAATGCCACATGGGACATATGACCCACTTTGAATAATTTCTAGATTGAACACTGAGACTGTGCCCTCTGTTCTGAAGAGATTACAGTTCATGCAAAACAAGTTTAAAATATATACACCTCACACATTCATCCACACACTTAACATGTTTGGTCAACTCTTGGTGTTAAATGTCATATTACTGGATCTAATGATCACCCCTACCCCTTACACCATTGACAGTTACCCCTTTAAGTGCCAATAGTGACCAAGAACCATTTTATCCTAACAATATCCATACATTGTCAAGAGATATGGTTATGAGAATTAATAAAATGATCACCAAAGAGAAAATGCCTTGATCTTTTATCAGGTCTTAAAGGAAATTATATCATTATATGGAGATCAGTTTGGAGAATTTGTATGTGTCTTTTTGGGTATAAAGGGTTGCAGTGCAAGTGTTAACAGGGGGCAGAAAGAAGAGGATGACAAAGTGTACATTATGGTTATTATCTGCTTATTGTTGTGATCCTCACTTTACATTTCAGAGCTCTGGTCTTTTACAAACAGATTGCTTTAAAGGAAGGAGACGTTTGGCAGAAAATGTTTTCAGACACTATTTGCCGTCTTCTTTCTTCTGCCATGCAATAGAGAGAAGTGTGAAGTCACGTTACCATGGCAATAACATTTCTGGATCACAAAAATGGGGAGCTTCAGCAACAACGACGGCGATGGCAACAAGAAAGGCAAAAAAGCAATCGGTACATCAGCAAAACAACAACTTTGCATGTGCATCACACTTTTTTGTACATTTCTTCAAGTTAGCAGTCACTGCAAGTGTGCGATAAGAAACTTCCCAATTTCACATGCACGTTTTCAGGAGCTGGTGCACACAGCACGAAAAATTTTCTTTTTCTCTTTCTAAACCAGATATGGTCCTTTCGGATTCAAGCCCAGACAATTTTGCCATGATTTTCCAAATTAAATGAAACTGAATAAGATCGACGAAAATTGTAACAGTGTGAATTCACTTTTTAAGTGACATTTTCCCTTTGTTGCTGTCCAGAAATTTTGCTACCATGGCAGTGTGTGTGGTAATGACTTCACCTCTCTACTGCATAACTTCACTATTAACAAGACACTACTGGCTTTGCTATAGATAGATAGCAACAGATTACCACTGCAGCTGGTTGTTTACCTTTTCGCTCCACTGTAAGATCACCTCCTCCTCCACAAGGTCAGAGTCATAAAATGCTTTTAGAATAAGAGCTGCCTTAGGCATCAACTCATCAGGAAAAGACTGCCCAATAAGCAGCTCAAATGCACCCAGCAGGTACTTCTGGGCCTTGTGGTTACCATTAACAAACTAAAGTAAAAACAAGGCAAACATGAATTTGTGCCAACACCATCATCAAACTATTATGACCAGGTAACTTATTCTAGCCAGACACAATAAAAGGTTAACCTATGTTTCTGCTTTCTACATGAAAGGAAAGACATGTGACATTTTGGCTATACAAGACTAGATTACATTTGGGTTTACCTCAGTGTAAAAAACCTGTGAAGTATTTCTTTGTTTTCTAGCTATTATTTTCAATGGCTCTATTGTGTTGACTTCTCAATGGCTTCTTTGCATTCATTGTTTTACATCACTCGTGAGTTTTCACAAGTTTTTGCACCAAGGATGAGCCTTGCATTTTATACACATGTACATTGCTTCTAAGAAACTTGAATCAATGCGTTGGTCACAAGGGGCTTTCAGGCAAATACGACTGAAAACTCACCCTCAAAAACAGATTTCGGAACTTGGGGATTTGGCTGAGCATGTTACTATCAAAAAGTACTTCACTAAGGGCTAACACAGCTTTGTCCTTTATATCAAGCCTTTCTGCTTCGGCAACAATCTCTTTTGCTCTCTTTTCCACGCTGCTTGTTTCCTTTTTTGCCTATTAAGAATAAAAAAGGATCTGTATTAATGAAGAGTAACATTTAGATATGGATCACTAACACCATTTAAATGTAAGACAGTAACTTTAGCAGTGTACATATTCCTGAAATAAAACAAAGCAAATGGACCAAAATACTGTGATAGATCTTTAAGATTACAGTCAAACCTTTGCCAATTTCCATTTTGAAACCTGAAATCACTATTTCTGTTGTTAATGGTACACAAAACATTTCTAAGTTCCTCGAACTGCTCTTTGAGACTTCCAATACATCTCAATTAAAAAACTAACAATCTGCACAGGTTGTGCATATTTTATTACCTTAACAAAGGAATAAAACAGATGGAAGCGCTCTTCCTGTGTCTTCTCAGTATCGTCAGTTAGTGCTATTCCTTTAACACCTGAGGAAAGATTTCCCATTCTCTTCTGCACAGCTTCTTCACTTGTATCTACACTCCAATCATCATCTGCAGCTGCAACTGGCTGCAATAAATAAACACATTACAGGGTTCTCATTAAGTTTTAAAGTAGACAGGTAGGATGCAAAAGTAGGCAGCTTGGTAATCAAGTGCTGTAGCCAATTTAAGGCTTTCACTCCCTCACTTTACCCCTTTTCTCCCAACAGTAAATGGCCCAGACCACAAAGTAGCTGGTATTTTAGCCGTTTACAGGTACGTAATGAGAACCCTGCACTATTCCAGCAACAGGAATAAAGTTACTCTGCACTTTAAACTACTGTGGAAACCCTACAGTCTGTATTTTACTAACCACCTTGGGAAAAGCAAATTGGTTTGAATTATCAGGAATTAAAGAAAAGGCTTTGAGAAGTCAGGATTTAAATTACTCTTTTGTAACATTTAGGCATGTTTAAAAGTTATTGCAAAGCTGAATGAATGGGGCAAAAAAGGGTATCCAGGTTTGATGCAGCCAAGAACAATTTTACACGAGGTCACTGGACTTAAAGATGCCCCACACAATAAACTTAGAGGAAATTCTGAAGTGACTACACCAGTGATAAAAAACTTGGGCCCAATTTTCATTACTGTTGTTACCGATGGAAAGGATGAACAAACTACCTCTATTTTGAAAATTAAACCTTACCTCTTTGTTGAAGTCAGGGTTTTCAATTCCATTTTCCCCAGGTTGCATTGGATTGTGGGTAGGGCTAGTTTCCCCATTTTGTTGCCCTTTCTGCTTTTCTCTGCGTCGTTCCTTTTTGTCTCTACAAGGTAAAGAATGAGTTTTTACCACTTTAAACACCAGACATAAGCAATATCATACTGCTTAAAGAAAGAAACACTAAGCTAACCCTTCAATCTTTATTTATCCACGGTACTTCTTGACAAAATGACCCATGTTCAGCCTAATCCTGTTCACAAACATTTCCATTGTATGAAGGGTCAAATGTATTTGTCAAGTACATGTATTGGACAAAATACACCTTTTGCTAGTCATTACCAGAAAATAATAGTTTCAATAACGAGGTGATCAGTAATATTGACATGAAAGTACACTCATTTTCACGAATTGGCCTTGTTTTTGTCTTTACAAATTCATTAAGCACTTTTGCATGGAGACAAAATATTTTCAACAGCACGTATAGGTAATTACATGAAAGTGCATTCTATGATGCTTATATAAAAACATTAACACCACCATTTTTTAAGTTAAAAAAGGACGATAAAAATTTCAGTAATGCAAGACTTTTCATGCGTAACACCAAAAGCGCAACAACTTAAATTTAGAAGGGTGTTTCACTATCAATCTTCAGAATGTTTTCTACATACAATTGTTGATTTGAGAAAATGAATGTTCATGTATTTCATGGTAGCAAAAAATTGCTTCCATTTACCACCATTTCTAAACATGTTGCTTATATTCATATAAGGTGATCTGAGTACTAAAATTGGGCCTTATTGGGCTTTCTAAAGGACAATACCTACTCCATGGTTACTAGTGCAGGTATATAGCTGTACAGTATGTAAATGCATGTTCAAGTGTGCGAGCATTAAAAACAAATTTAAAATAGGATAGGTAGGATATTCATGTTTGCTTTTTGTTGCGCACCATCTTAAAATCCGTAAGAGAGAACTGAGTCGTGCATTTATCTCACTTTTTAGAAGGGGTTCCTGCTGCTTCATTTGGAGGATTTTTGCAAATAAAGGTAATGAGTCTGTGTTGCATATGAAGAACTCCACTGTATCCACATGCTTTGCATGACTGTCCAATCCTTTCCTTGCGTGGCTCTACATTCTAGACATTGAAAATGACAAAACAGATCTGAATTACTTGATCATGGCAACATCCCATCTTCATTTATGGAGTCAAATTTCTTCAAATTAAATTACAGACTGGCCAAATTCTTTGTGAAACTACAGGTGTATACCACCTTTTTACCAAGTGAAAAAATCACTTGCACCCTCACACCAAACCCTACAATTCACATCAGTACAATGTCTGTTCTAAGAAAATGATCCCAAAAAAACAAGTAATTTGTACTATCATCTCGAGTTCCTTATTTTTACATAAATGTAGCAAGGGTGTTTTAACCTTTAATTAAGCAGAAGGAGATGTACCATTGTACTACTAGAAAATCCAGGCATTGAATTTTAAATACAAAAATTATATTATAGTAGTACTAGTATTCCAATCCCAATCCTATCTCCCCCACCCCTAGATGCTCTATTCTCAATAATAAATAACACATTACCAGCACAGTTTCAGGATTTTCACAATCTGGACACAACACAAACTTCTCAATAAATCCGTCAAGTATCTCTTGCAACTTGTCTGCATCATGTGACCCATTGACAATGTAACGCTCATTCTTTAGGTCAATTTGGGTTTGGGCTCCCAACTCACAACCAAAGTATTTAGTTGGATCTAAGGCAAAGAAGAAAGCTGGAAGTCCATGACATGTTGCAAATTGAAAGTATAAGAAAACTTTCATTCAACATAATATTCATTTGGAAGGAAGGCAAAACACAGCAACAGTGTGAAATGAAAAAGTCATTCACCCCAAGTTTCCTGTGGAAGTTTACTTACTTGCCTGCCCACTTAGTTGATTACTCACTTACTTTCTTGCTTGCTTTCACGGACCATTATGGCTATGCCTTTCCTCAAGAGGCAGTAGCCACAACAAACAAGTACGACAAACCAACAACAAGAAAACAAACAGACAAACATAAACAACAGTTCATGCTATCTTACATGCAGGTGGCCTCTGCAATGCTTTAGCTATCTCCACCATATTGACAATTACTGTTTTGATTCCATTTCCTTTCCCTTCCACCTGAAGTGTAAACACAATATTTTTCAATCAAATTATCAAAAAACTATTATATATAGAGCTGAAACTAATAATAATTATTTAAATCATTACCATTCGATGCAAATAAAATTTAAAATCATTGGCTGAGACAACAATTTCCTCCTTCTTGTGATTGCTCTTGAGTGAAAACAGCAGACTGCTCTGCTTACCTAGGATATTCACTAAGGACCTGTTTACATGGAGGTAGGGGACCTCAGGAGCGAGGTAACCCACTTAGGTGGGCTAGCCTGCCTAACCTTATAATCTCTCATTTTATTTTAATCACGTTCACATGATAAGTGGGGTGACCCGCCACATGTCACCTCACCTATCTGGGATCACCCACCTCCATGTAAACAGGTCCCAAAAAACAAACTCAGTGATCAAATGATATTACAATATTATTTCTCAGAGATCAATAATATTATTTGTCTCAGCCCAGCTTATCACTGACAAATCCCAATATTTTGCTCAACCTTGTCCAATAATAACAATTATCGCTAATTATTTTTTTGTTACTAGCCATATTGCACGATTCTCTGATGAGAATATAGAGCATTGCCTTAAGAGTACAACAAATAAGACATACTTTATTAACTAAACCTGAAACAACAGATAAACCATGAACTTGCGCATATGATGACATGTACTTCAAGGGTCAAATGTAGGTACAAACTGCACATGGCATCCTAAAAAATATCAAATTCATCTTACCTTAGCTAGGAGTTTTGGCATCTTGTAACGATAGAACTGGTCCATGTTCTTTCTGTTAACATTGACGAGAGCCATGATTGATTACTTGTTTTAATGAGCTTCCTTTTGGACAAACGCTTGTAGTGATTGCAGTTCATGCAATAATTTCTGCTGGGAGATATTTTCCCTTTTAAATTCATAAAAGTTCTATGTCTTGTCCTTGCGGCAAAACAAGAAAGGCGTTGTAGCCCTGTATAAGTTTCTTTGTGAAAATGAATCTTGAGCCTCCTCAACCGAGTACAACCTAGGAAAGAAATAAACAATATGGTAATCTACAAGATAACTACAGTAAGTGTGGATGAGGTCTTGTATCAGAGACTGAATGAATGAAAAAAACCACGACAGTATTTTAAAAACTCATCAGGATTCAAATTTTACGCTGTTTGACAGTAAAAAAAAGTCACAGGTTATGTGACTGAAAAGGATTTTAAGTGTAGCCATCTAAATTACTGTGAATTTGGAACTTTAGTGTACCATAGTTATAAACTAATTTGTTATTTGCAACGCTTGTACATGAAGTTGTTTGAAGATGCTAGCTGGTACAGCTCAACAAGAACAGAAGCTGTACTGATGCCTGAATTGAATGAAATGGGTTCATAGCCTGTTACTATTTGCAGTAAGCTGTTTGTGATTTATGTTTTCTGTTGAATGAACAGGTAGCAGATATATTTCATGTGATGGGCTTTGCGAGTATGACCAACCAATGCTTGGAAGCACTATTGCAACCAGGAGCAAATTTCTAGTTGCACTACCAAAATTTCAGCCCCCAGCTAAAAAAATGTTAGAAGCACTGCTTAGAATACTGAGAGCAGCCACAGACAAAATATCAGAAGGATTCAGACATAGTATTACTATAAGTCATCACTTATCAGTATGTCATATTTTATGTCAGTCCTCTGTTTATTTCTCTCAGGCTTTTGCTGTTGTCATCATTACCTTTTTTAAACCAGCCTTTTCAGTTGCGAGAGGTACAGCGTATTATACTTCAACATAACAGAAAAATGCCACATTCATTTCCTCTGAAATATAAATTGTTGCTCGCAACTTCCATTTCATTTTTGTGATGAAGCTGCTACAGACTTGGAGGTGGAACATTCACTGACAGTGCATAATAATGACTTGATAAGTTAAGAGTCCCAAGAATCAGCAACTGCAATTTACTGCAATAACTCATGTTTAAGCCACACATCCAAGTTTTGACCTTGACTTGGAAAGCTTCCTTATTCTCTGTGGTGCTAAATCTTTAACAGTTGTATTTGCACAGAGTAGAAACAAATCCTCCAGAATCTAAAGGAATAATTTATTTCCACTCTGAAGTGCAACATCTGTTTTCATCACTAAAATTCAGCCTTGATGAAGGACCAGGAGACACGCTATATGTATAAATAGATTTCTCTCTAAATCAACTTCTTTTCTGAAAAACAACAGTGATGTCACTTTGCAATAAAGTTTGGTAAGTCCTACGCGATGAAAAAGTTCATAAGGATCACATTTCACCGATGTTCATATTGTTGAAACCAACTGTGAAAATGCCACACAAAAACTTGGATTGATGAAACAGCATTTATTTTCCAGTTTTAGTTCTTACACAAACCACAAGATTTTTTGTCTTTTACAGTTTTCTCCCTTTAGCTGCAGGTTTAATCAACATTTTGACATAAATATTTGTTGATGAATTACTTTTACTAAATTGAATTTTACTAACAACTGCTACAGTGATCCAAGAACAATTTCCAAATTAACATCCAATTCCAAACCTTGTGTTCATCTCTAAATTCTGTGAAAGGGTGGTAGCTGTTCAACTGACCAAATATCTTACTGATAATTCCCTGATGGAACAGTTCCAGTCGACTTGTAAACCCAGTCATGGTACTGAATCAGTACTCTTAAGGCCTGGTTCAAGATGACATTTTGCAAGCCATCAACTATATTACTGCTCCTCGACCTCTCAGCAGCGTTTGATATGGTTGACCATCGCATTATTTTTGCTTGCTAGACTCACTGACCGATTTGGCACAGATGGCAAGGCTCACGACTGGTTTGATGTTTAATGCAGTTTGTTGTTTTTGGTAGTGCCCACTCATCCAGTCTGCCATTGAATTGTGGTGTTCCCCAGGGGTCGGTTTTGGGTCCGATATTATACCTGAGTTACGTCGACCCATTGGGTGACACAGAGGCATCACAACATGTCTTTTCACTTTTACGCTCATGATACTCAGCTTTATATATCATTTGAGTCGTCAATTTTGGGTGATCTTTCAAGGCAATGCTCTACATTGGAAGTCTGTGCTCATGGTATTGATATGGAGGATATCACGAAATTTCTCATTGAGTGTTGAAATATTTTTTCAACACAAGAATAGAAATTTTGTTTCTCCAAGCAGCCATGTAATGTTCTATTTATTATATAAACACCAATGAATTACCAAACCATTTCACTTTAATAGTTTTTTGCTGTGAAAGGCACAATTTATTATGTAGCCATAGCAACGGTGATATTTCACGTGTGAAGATAACATGTTATTTTCACATATGAAGATATCAAGTTTTTGCGTAACAGCTCACCTGGTATTTCATTGGTGTTCATATAATATCTTGTTAAGAAAGACTTTAATTGAATCATTTAGTTATTTTAGTGACTGTGGACTTTGTGATGACTTTTTTAGATTTTGAGTGGTTCGTACCTTTAGAAAAGGCATTATATAAATTGTTTATTACTGTTATTATCTTAGCGAAAAAGATATAAAAACCATTTGGACAGATGATCCAACCGTTTAAACAGATGTCACATCTCTTCAAGCAGACGCAGAGCAAATGGACACACATGTAATTTGTGAACAGATGTCTTCTGGCCACCTTCTGTAGCAAAGTTAACAAGAACACGCAACTTAACGTTGACAACGAAAATAATGAACCTCTGAATTGAGAGAAACCACAAGTGGAGAAACAAATAAAACACATGTCGATACATAAAGCCCTGAGATGGTTTAAAGTTCCACAGTGGACATTGACTCCATCCCCTTCCAGCTCAAAATCAAGGAGATTAAATATTCACGGGAACAAATCCTCACACCACAGGCAGATTTTACAACTCAATTTTTCACTGGCTATTTAGTTTCGCCTAATGTTCACTTGTCATGTTTCTTTAAAATTACCACACCATAATTTGATATATATTTTTAGATTTCTTGTTGTTCCCCATTTATTGTCAGGCTGTAATTAGCTTTACTTTCTACACTATTGCATCCTTTTCACATTTTTTTTTACATTCATACCCACTGGAAGGTTATATTTCTTGAACTAATGAGCAATTAAGGTTCATCTGAAACCTGTTTACACAAAAAGGGCACTTTCTTTTAAGACTGTTCCCACAACCGATGGAGTTTTAAAATTTAAAACAGTCAAATAGCTCCTAGGGCTTAAGTATCCACTGATTTTCTTTTTAATATCCTTTCTTCCCGGAATTCCCCTAGGAAGGAGAATGCTACAGATTCCTCGTGTTCCTTGAAAGGGCAGTTTTCTCAGTTTATGAATGTGACATAACACCGCATAAATTGCATTAGTCATTAAATTTAAAGACTCCTTCTCATGAGGACCGAACGGGGTGATTTATGTAAAATGTGCATACATTAAAAAATATGAATTGACCAATTCAAAGACAACACATCATCTTCAAAATGTTTTCTCCGAAGAAAGGAACTCAAAACTTTGCTTTTCTACCAAAAAAAGTTACCACTAATTTTAACCACGTTTCACACTACAGAATTTGCTGTATATTTCTGTGTCACTGTTCCGAGTCAATATCAGAACGTTTAAACCAATACCACGATTAACACGTTTCACCTGGTTTCACAAAGACTGAGAAAAGAGTTGAAGAGCTTTAAATATTTCGCTAATTTCAGACTTAGTGATGAAAAAACAATGAATCCTGATAAAAGGAGCGCTTTTCGGAGATTTTAAGTTGTTTTATTTTCTTACCTGAGCAGATAAACGTCATAAATTGTCGTGAGATGACGAAATTCCTCGAAATCTCCCTGCACTTCAATCGTGCTTAATAAACACGCACTTGACAAGCAAAACGCCACAAAAAACACCTAGAAAGGGTAAAAATACACTTAAGGTTTTTTTAGTAACGAAACATGACCGTCGTATAAATTCTAGTTCGAAAAAAAACGACTTAACGCCAAGAAAAAAATTGCCTTCCGCTACTCACTGAGTCTCCCGCGACAAGATGGCAGACCATGCAAATCTCGTCACGTGATAATTCATGACGTCAACTCATACCCATTCTCCAGCTTACTTTTCTTTTCGCTTTCGTTCCCAAGTCCACCCCAACTCTCCTTTCTTTTTTCCACTTTCTCATTTGTTCTGACATGTTTTGTTTATCCTTCGATTGTGGTTATTCTACGCGATCACCGTGATGAAAATCGAGTTCTGTCAGGGATCCGTTAGAACCCAGCTACGAGCTGTTTCTTGAGTCAGAAGGTGCTGTATTTTCTAATCGAAGTTGCTAAATTACAGAGAGATTTTTGCGGAGTCCTTTTGCTTTTGTCTTCGCTTGAGAAAGGAGTAGCCCGTCCGTCCACTCCAGAATGGAGGCAGACTCCAATTTTCCTTTGAAAGACATCGCGTCGGTGGTAGAGGTTTTCAAGGTGGAACTTGCACAAATAGAACCGAACTTGGCCAAATTATCGATTATTTTAGGGTTCTTCGAGACCGCGTTAACCTGCAAGGGATCCTCCAATAGCTGTCCCAGCTTAGATAAAGAAACGTTCGACGCACTTGGCGGTAAATTTCAGGCCTTGGTTCAGAAAGATTTGAATGCCAACAAAGAACAAAAACCAGCAACGAGAGAATTCGTTGTAGATGTTGCCGATCTAGTCTGGAGTTGTCTCTCAAAGTCCTATTTCAAAGACAAGCCACACATCCAGAATTTATATAGTTTTTTGACAGGCAAGTTCCACTTTAACATTTGTTATAATCTGTTACAAACCTCTTTATGAATGACGATGATACATGGGCTGATCACTACAATCCTTTGTGAGCTTAATATATTTAATGTTTCAATTCTTAGTCTCCAGTGTTTTTCACCCGTCTGTGATTTTTAAGCTTTTAACTTTTTGATCAATGAACAATATAATTCTATCCCCGTTTATTACTTTAAATTATGAGTACTAGGATTTTTTTGGATATTTACAAAATGAAACTGAATCATTTATTTTTATTGAATCTTGAAACATCTACTCTCTTTAGTTGTCCTCTATATTGATCTATTTTTGTCAAAAAATCCATTCATATATATATTATTGGAGCCAAATTGTGACTCTGTTTGTGTATGTATGGAGCAGAAACTCTGATTCTATTAATTTTAGCCTTTTAATTGCAACCTTTAGAAAGATTCACCCAGTAGGAATCGAAGCTAATTAATATTCAATTCAGGGTATGACTCTGATTTCACATTGATCACCAATCAGAAAATTATTCCTTGACAACAATGTCAATATTCTGAGAGAAGTTGTTGTAAGTTTTGCAGAGATCTGTGACAGAAAGAAAGATAAGAGAGTAATGCATTGTTATAAACTTTGAACAGTTGCAGTTCATATCTTCATTCAAGTTGGGGCAGGGAGCATTCATCCAGAACCCAAAGATATTGGGGCGGCTGGCCCGTTAATGGTGACGTAGTTTATGCTCACACTTGGGAACTATTGACCCTGAAAAACCCTATCAAGCCACCTTAAAATAAGGTGGGGGCCAAGGCTCCTCATGCCCCTTTCATAGATCTACTAATGGGAAACACTGATAACTTAATTTGTATCTGGTTTATTCATGGCCTAATAGAATTTTCTTATTGTCTTGATAACTTCTTTTTCAGTAAATATTTGAAAAGTTAAAAATGACCATGGGTGTTGTGTGTAAAGTTTTTTTGGCGGCTGTGTTGATCGAGTATTGACCAAGTGTTGATCGAGAGTCTGTCAATATCTATCGGCCAAGTGGCGTTTTCCTGTCGGTCAAGTATTAGTTGACAGATCGACCAACAGTCAGTCGAGGTAGCATCAGTAGTGTGTCAGCAATGTACGGGGGGAATGTTGGTCAAGTATCGGTAAGGTATCAGTGGTGTATCAGTCGACAATTGGCATCGCCTTGAGTCGGTTGACAGTTGGCCAAGTGATGTTTTACTGTCGGTTGAGTATCAGCCAACAGATCGACCGACAGTCGATCGAGATAGTATCAGTAGTGTGTCGGCAGTTTATCAGTGAACTGTCAGCTGAGTATTTGTAATGCATCGGTGGTGTATCGGTTGACAGTTGCCATCGCTTTTATCAAACTCGTCCCCAGTGCTTTCCCTTTGTTACAAAGTACCTAACAGCTGACACGCAGTAGACACTATGGCTCGTTATGTAGCTGTGATCTGTTGGTGATCTGTCGGATATCCATTGGCAAAATAATGACCACCAACCATCGACCGACTACCTACCATTAGACTGTAGCAGTCGAGTACCCGCCAGATATTTGTCGAGACATGACTGACTCTCGACCAACAGTTGGCCATACTTGACCGCCACTACTGTACCATAGCGGCCGACTGTCACCAACATATCGGCCAATCGACTCTCAACCAATGTAGCAATCAATATGTCAATCGACATTCGACCAAGATATCAGCCGATCCATTGATCAACACCCCCTGTAAGAAACATGATCCCGTTTTGGTTGTATGAATATGGGGTGCTTATATATAAAAGGTGATAAGAACCTAGAACCTTACAGCTTCATAATAAAGTTTTTTTTCTCATTATACCATCTTCCTACTCAGTACAAGATCACAGATGTCCTGGGAAGAGCTACCCATTGAAATCATGTGAACAAATGGTATTTATTATTCATGGATAATTTTTTTTTTGAATTATTTCTTAAAAGGAAATCGACTGGACTGTTTTGGTGTTGCCTTTGCTGTAGTTGCCATTTGTCAGGCGCTGGGTTACAATGATGTTCATTTAGCACTGTCAGAAGACCACGCCTGGGTGGTGTTCGGTGAGAGTGGCAAAGAGACCGCAGAGGTTACGTGGCATGGTAAAGGAAATGAAGATAAACGTGGTCATCCTGTGGACTTTGATGAGAGCACTGCACACAGCTGGTTGTACCTGAGTGGATACCCTGTAAAATGCACAAGACACATGGAGGTTGCATCCATGGTAACGTCAATAAACCCTAATATCAACAGCACAACCGACAGTGTGGAGTTAGCTAGTTTGCAGCAGGTAAGGTGTGAAAGAACCTGTTTTGAAGTTTATGTGTCTTGAAAATGTAGCCAATAAGTTTTTCAAGTTTGTTGCTTATAATCCATTCAATCTCCATGATAGTAAGACACCTTTTATCACAATGGTCTACAAGCCAGTTGCCACATTGCTGTTATTCATTTTCTTTCAAAATAAACTTGAAATTAGAAAACCTTCCTTATGAAGTTTATTTAAGTGCAAATGTATTTAGCATAATATACAGTGGAACCTCGATATAACAAACCTCTGTATATAACAAACCTCGATATAACAAACCTCTGTAGATAACAAAGTCCTTGGTGTAACAAACGATTTTCTTTGTCCTAATAATAGTAAATATATGAAAAGGAACCTCAATATTACAAAACCTCCTTATAGCAAACAAATTTTGCCACAAGTCCCTTGGCCCTTTGATATATCAAGGTTTCACTGTACTGACGGCGGCACATGCCTATATAGCCCATAATTATGTGGTAGTAGCCTCTTGGGGGGTGGGTGGATCCTTAACTTGAGAAAAAGGGAAGGAGTGCTCTTCTAAACTTGTGACATCCTCGGAGACCCAGGGGCAGATAGTGGGGGCAAGAGAAAGTCTAAACGGACGGAAAAATATGGCACAAAGAAAAGTAAAGAACGGCGAGAAGAGCCCCTGGCCTGACAATGTCTTACCAGACCAGTTCCAAACGGTCGCCGCCATTCTGGCTTCTGATTGGTGCCAGGAAACTTTTGTGTTTTTCTGCCCAATCAGAAGCCAGATCAGCGGCAACTGTTTGGAACTGGCCTGGTAAGACATTGTCCCCAGGGGCTCTTCTCGCTGTTCTTTACTTTTCTTCGTGCCGTATTTTTCTGCCCGTTTAGACTTTCTCTTGCCCCCACTATCTGCCCCCAGGTCTCCGAGGATGAACTTGTGATAACAGGGACCAAGCCTCAAAACTTATTTTTGACTCTTCAATCTTCTGTTTGGTTGAAAAATAAGGGGGACTGGGTCCTAAGGTTGCATAAATTTGAGCATTTAGTGAGTAATATTTAAGTGTATGTTATATTTGTTTTGGAATGACAGTGCATATGATGCTTCATTGTTTTTTATCTAATCAACAGCAACTTTTGTGGTTACTCTATGATCAAGGCCATCTTAAGAGGTAAACAATATTTTATTTTTTTAAAATTTCTAACAGTATCAAACGTAGGAATATATTTTGTTAGGAAATGAAGAGTGAACTCCAATGTTCCATCAAAAATTTGTGTAGGACACTTGTTTCATCGTGTATCATGTTTCCCATTGTCTAGATGAACCCTTGAACAAAATTAAAAGTGTGTCAAGTCAAAAGTGTAAAAATTTTAAAGGACTACAAGTAAATCAGGAGATCTAAAATATTCTAGCGGGATGCATATGTGTGATATATTGAAAAAATTTTGGTTGATTTTTTACTTCTTGCAGTGGTCTGAAAGTCCCTTCCATCAAATAATTTACCTTCTAAGATAAAAAGGCATATGTAGCACATTTGAGAAAATTGTACACTTCTTTGTAACTTACTGTGATTTTGATAAGCATGGATTGTTCAATCTTAAAAAAACATCTTTTCCTTCCAGTACAAATACATTGTATGACATAAGTTTTTTTCAGCACTTTATCAGGGTCTGGTTCCTGAAAGGTGATTAGTGCCAAGGGAAAGTTCATTTAATATGACAAGGGGGGGGGGGATGAAGATATTGAAACTCGAAGCTTGAAATTTTAGCAGCCCCCATCGCTAGCGGTTCAATTTTATAGGAGCCCCCTCCTTGGTAGTCGAAAAAATTTCAGAGCCCCCCCCCCCCCCCCCTCCTTCAATTCCTTTGCTCCCCTAAAAAAAGATTGCTAGACTGTATTAAATATATTTACTGTTATTGTCTTCAATGGTTTATACTATGACAAACTTGAGATACAGTTGTGATACAATTTTCTAAAGCATTTTTAGGATGAACAAGAGTGTAATAATTACTGAGACTACATTTGTTATATCTGTAAACCACGTGATATAGCTGAGTTGCACAGGTCATTAAATTGTTGAGTTGAAAACCATCTGATCTGTATGATGATGTCATGTGTTGGTTTTGAAGTATACAAATTTTCGGAGCCCCCCCTTCGGGTGTCTAAAAATTTTCGGAGCCCCCCCTCAATATCTTCATCCCCCCCCCTTGTCATATTAAATGAACTTTCCCTAATGCAGGATTTAAATTTAAATGTACCACTTTTTGTATTTACCTTCCTACGCATTGCTTAGAGTAACATTTCGTGTTGTCATTTCTTTTTTTGAAGTAAAGTCACAACGGTTTTTTGAAAGCTCAAGTTACATGTTCTTAGACAAGAAACCGTACCTAAAATTTGGCTTACTCCTGGGTTAACTTAACCATCTTCGAGGAACAGGGCCCAGGAGGGTTGATTAATTTAAATTTTGTGCATTGCTCCACTAGATATCCATTGGCTCTGGGCAATCTTGGTGACTTGGAAGAAATATCACCAACTCCTGGCCACCCATCAGCAGAAGACATCCTTAAGGAAGGCATAAGAGTGGGCCAATCCCTGTACAAAGACTATCATGTGTACCCCTATACGTACCTTGCTGGTTATTATTACAGACAGAAGCAGTATCTGAAAGCCATGGATCACTGGGTCAAAGCAGCATATGTTGCTGGAAAGTACGTAGTGGTAACTAAGTAAGGTAAAAAAGGCAGTTAAAAAGAAAGACTGCCAATTGCACTCCCTTGAACCAGAGAGGTGACAATGATTGGTCTCTCCCCACTCGCCCATTAATGTAATATTACAGCACAAATAGGAAACCAAGGCACTGGTGCCTTAATTTCCTCTCTACTACTCTAAGGCTGTGGCATGTTTCAGCCTGGTTGAATGGGTACTGGTCTGCTGATGGGGGAGGGGGGGTTGAGTTTGAGCACCAGCTGGACCACAAAACCTGAGGGTCTTTAAACAATTATTTTAGTTCATGCTGGTTGTGATTTAAAAGGGAGCTTGTGTCAGTTCAGATAATTGCATCATTTGGGCAATGACGTTAAGACTTTCTTATTAGTTGGAACAGGACATTAAAGAACCTAGCGCAAAGATGTCTGAAAAAAGGGGGGCATAGACCACAATGGTGTGGCCTGTCTTCTCATCGGGTGTTTCCCATGTTTCTCATGGGCTGTAATTGTGGTGTGCAAGCTGAAATTGTGGGACGATCGTACTTAAATGCAATCATTATGCATGGCGACAACTTACACCAACTCCTTGTAGGTACAACTATTCAAAAGGAGATGAGGAGATGTTTAAAGAATTCTACGAGATAGCCAATGACTTTATCCCAAACATTCTCAAGATTACATCTTCCATCAAAGGTGACAGTGGTGCCATCCAGTCTGCCAATCTTGCTGAAGATCCAAGCTTCTTTAGTCTTGTTCTTCAGTTTTATGATGGCATCTGCCTATGGGAGGAAGGCAGCCAAACTCCTGTTATACATGCTGACTGGGCGAAGAAGCTTGTTCAATCAATTTCAAGATTTTCCCCTGCTTGTAGATCTGCATTGTCATCTATGCATGCAGGAAAATTAGCTACGGTTCATGAGCCTGTGAAAAATGATACACCTGAAATAAAGTCATCTGCACAGGAAGGCGGATCACTGTCATTATCCAATAAGATGGAAAACAACAGCTCAGCAACAGCAAGTGTAGAAAACTCTAAAGAACCACTGGTGTTGAATCTTAGAAGCCAAAAAATGAAAGGCATGCGAGATTTACTGACAACTAGTGGCAAAATAAACACTAGTGCTATCAAGCTGCAATTAACAGCTCAGTCCCAAGTGAGTGTGCCAAAAAATCGCAGGAGGTCGTCATTCAAAACAGACGATTATGTTTATGACTTTGGTGAAGGAGCTGAGGGAGAAGATGAAGAAGAAGAAGAGAAGGAGAAGGAGAGGAGGCCAAGGAAAGCTATGAAAGGAGACAGGGATTATGTTGTATACTGATTTTATTTTTATGTTGGAAGAAGAATACAGTCAAACCTCCAGTAACGGCCACCTCTCCACAACGGCCACCTCTCTACAATGGCCATTTTTTTTTGCAGACAGTCCATACATTGACTCTTGTTATGGCCACTTTCTGCTGTCCCCAATGTGGCCGTTGTAGAGGTTCAACTGTAGAAAAGTATTATTTAATTTCCAGCTGTCCAGAGTTTTTCTTCAGGATGGTGTCCTCTCACCCTACCAGCAGAGTCTTTCTTTTGGTTGCTCAATTTTAGCCTACTCGAGAATTTAGGTTTCTAGGAAACTGCCTACCTACCCCTCCCCTAACCCAACATTTTGCCCTAAGTGAGAGGTAAGTGTTAATGTTGACTTAAGGGAGGGGTAGGTGGGTAGTTTCCCATAAACCTAAATTGATCCAAATTCTTCTCCCATAAAAGTTTTTGTGCATAGAGAGGTAGACAATATTTTCCATTTACTACTCTCATATTTTGAGGGTAAGTGGAGAATTTAAAGTATCATGCTTTTTTACTAGTAGTGTACAATAATTACAGTCAAACCACGATTTATTGACACCTGCTTAATGTGCAGAAGGTTGACAACAAATTATATTGTTGTGGTGCAGTCGCTAAAGCCGCCAGTTTATATGTACCAGCCATTTTATCTGTAGAGTTTTGCTTGTTTTATTATCTTTTGTGGGACTTGGTGACATACTGTTACAAGGGGAAAAAATACACTATTTCTTCATTTTTAATGATAACTTATCTAGAGTTTTACATATAATATAACCAAATTATGCATGATAATCTTTAAGGCTAACATATTCATGAGAACACCAATGCATCAACCTTTCCTGGGGGTCAAAGTGCAACTCCACACTAAAAGTGACAGGGGTGCTCATTGATTTTTAGTCTCCCACCCAGACGTTCTTAGGGGTTCGTCGCACGTTCCTGCCCCACGTTCGTCAGGGAGGATAATTTTGCATGGCTAGCCAAAAGAACATTTGCACACAAGGATAATTGATTTTTGATTGTAAGAGGAAATTGTGGATGTTACTACCTCAGGTGCTAAAATCTAAAATGGCAGTTGTTTAATTTACAGTGGTTTTTTTAGAGGCTTTTAGTTTATCATACACATTCTGTAACATGTTCTGTACAGCTGCTATCGTACTGCATACAAGTCCCGGCTACAGGTCTTAAAAAAAGTATTTTCATCATCATCTCATTTGGGCCCTTAATGTTTAATCAAAAGAGACATGTAACCCATCTCAACACAAAGTTAAATATATTTAAAAAGAAAGCAAACATACTTAGGCCTTGCACCAGTCTAATAAGGGGCCCAACATGCCCAGAAGTCTCACTGCCATTTCCACTACATTGTTAGAAAGTTCAAAGTAACTTGCTGAACATTTATCAGCCATTAAAGTTGACTATTCTGTATTTAACCACTTTAAGCCATTTGAAGACATTCAAAACCAAAGAGTTTTAAACAAAGAGTGTTGTGGTATAGTTAAGCTTGGAACAGCTCTAAAGTGGCCAACAAGACAAAGAGGGTAAGGAAATGAGTCTAGTATAGTAAATTATAACAGTTCAAGTAAAAGTTGATCAGAATGTGGTTTGCAAAGTGCAGACATGAGGATTAGTCTTCCATTTTTATGAACATATACCTGGACTTGACAGCATGACTGTTTTTTATATCTGTAAAAAATAAAGTGTATAACTATTTAAGTGGTTTGTTGTTTGTCTTAGAATTTGCATAAAATCAAGAACATGCCTTGACAACCCTCTACAATTTCTCCCGTCCTTGACAGACGAGCCAATCTGCTTGTTTTTCCAGTAAAATCCTCTGTGTAGTTACATTTAGATAGGAAACCACGTACATGTCAAAAGCTTGGGGTGGTCTCAGAGGGTTGGCAAATGCCCGACCCCCTGGTAGTCCAAAATTTACGAATCCCCCCCCCCCCCTGGGACTGACAAGGTAGGCAAATGCCCCGCAGTAGCCCCAGGTGCAGGGGCTGGGCCCCGGGGGGGCACTTTAGGAATTTCTGGGTGGGGATGTGCCGCTGGGACCCTGGAACCCTTGACCTATACCAGAGCTAGTTCAGCTGAATTTTGCTACCCTATACTAGAGTAAACTCCCCAAATCCCCCTATCCTAGAGTAGCTGTTTCCCCAGTCTAGATAAAATCTTCAACCAACTGATGAGTTTCCTGAAAAATGATACCCTATTCTAGACCCAAACGCTCTGATTTATATACCCTATCCTAGAGTAAACTGCTTGAAAACCATACCCTTCACAGCGGCACATACCCATATAGCCTATATATGGCAGTACCCCCCCCCCCCCGGGGGGCTGGGCGCAGCTGGAATTGACTGATGTTAAAAATCTGTCATGAGACTGGCAGGTTCTATTTGAGGTTCAACTTTGAAAACTGACCTGCCTGAAACGTAAAGCTCGATTTACTTAGTTTCCCTAATCGCTTTAACTTCAGTCATTTATTAGTAAATTAACTTAGTATTTTTGACGGTTAAGTGGTAGTCTTCTTTTTTAAAGTTTTTGCCCAAAAAGTGAGGGAGCACAGGCCCACCCACCCCCCCTACTCCTACAACCCTGCTTGGGCATCTCCAAGTCACAGCAGAAACAGCAGCAGAAACTAACAATGCATTTGAAATGTTATCATTGTCTATGAAAATATGAAACTTGGAGACAATGCCCTAGAATAATGAGAGGCTAATGCTTGTAAACACGAAATTTTTGACAAAAAACTAGCGATATGTAGCCCTTATTTTACTTCCTTGCAAAACATAATAATCTTGAAACTCAAAGGTGACCTTATAAAACGACAGTGTTAATAAAAAAATCAATCCAATGTTTACAAAACCGCTAACAAGAGCACCTCGATACTTACTAATCAAATCCTTCTTTAGTTTAATATTTCATTGCTAAGTATGATTTACGGAGCTCCTTTGTGTGCTTGCATAAGAAGGAAGAATTAAATCTTTTATTTCAGATGGCAAAAGTGAAAGAGGCCTCCAAAAGAACTTGTGGTCCCATCCTACTCCATACCGCAGCTTAGGTCGAGTGGATGTCACAGCATGCATCATTGCATCAACCACTTTGTAAATATGTGGTGATAGAAAAAACATAAACTGAGCAGCATACAAGGCCTTTCCTAGAGAAGATTAAGTAAAATATGGACATTATTAACAAACCATCCGTTACAAAATGATTCCACTTCTAGTGAGTCCCCGTACGAAACTTCCAGCGCTGTACAGCGCCACAAAATCGCTTCAAAATAGCTGTCCAGCTAAATTACAGCTGTTTAGCAGCATTTTAGAAGCAGTTATTATACTGTCACGTGTTATCGACGTAAAATATGGTAGCTTTACCTTTGCACCTTTTAGGTGACATGTTTTTTTAAAGTTCTCCACTGACCATTTATGGTAATAAAGTGATCGAAGACTCTCAAAACTTTACTTCAGAAAGACATTTCTTAAAAGAGCTCTTAAAAGTTCACACGAGAGCATCGCTTTGGGCCAATCTGTATATTACTCACCTAAATTTAACTCTCCTCCGTAACTTTCCTTTGTGTCCACATCAAGGTTAGCCCATAACCTCTCTATCTGCTTTATAGCCACTTCACTATTTGCCAGGTTGGTTCTAAACATACCAGGGTCCAAAATGTGAACAGAAACACCAAACTGCTTTACCTCTCGACGCAGAGAATCACAAAATGCTTGAACACCATGCTTTGATATGCAATATGCTGTTACAGAGGGGAGAGAAATTGTTCCCCATGTACTAGCTACATTGACAATGCGTCCCTTGGTTTTCTTAAGCTGTGGCAAGAATGCCTTGGTCACTGATACCATCCCCCAAAGATTGACATCAAGAACGTGCTTCATTTCTTCTACAGTCTGCCATTCAATAAGACCCACAGGTCCAATCCCAGCATTGTTCACTATAGCCCACAAACCTAAAAGTACATCAAGACATGTTGTTTTAACTGCAAAAAACACTCATTGGATGTTTACTGCTTTCCTGGGCTGTTCCAGGCTCTGACGTAGACTGGTCCGCGAAATTGAGAAAGAGCAAACACAAAAATAAAAGGAGAGGAAACTGGAAGGAAACTTTTTACTGTTCCCCCACCTTTTTCCAGATCACGCACCTATATTTTTGCATGCATTTCACTTACAGGTCATCCCTACTATCTGAGAGCCTGGAACAGGCTACTGCTTTCCAAGGGTCCTGAAGGGGGGTTACCAATCCCATTTCCCAGCCACCATTTTTTTCCAAATCCCACAAACCAGTGTCCCGATCCCACTGATATGCTAACAAAACACCAATCCCATTCCCATTTTGGTTTTTTTTCTCACTCAAATCTCAGTCCCAGCGACCAAAATCCCATTTTTCCAGTGCAAATCCCAATTCCCATTTTACCCCTTTAGCACGCTCCTTTCCTTGTGCATTTTATAAGATATTTAATATTATAAAAGTGCTTTCTTGGAGGGCATAAAATTACATGCACTTGTTTGCGAGCTGCAGGTTCCTGAGTGGAAGGGCTTGGGATCAACCAAACCTCAGTAGGGGGTTATTCGGCCCTATATTGGTCCATACAGGGAGGTTCCTCCCAAAAGAGTACCTTTTTCAGGCTTTTTCAGGGGTTGATCCAATTATTTATGGTAGTCTTCAGGAGTGAATACAATTTTATGGAATTCTTCAAGGGTAAGAAAAAAAGGTTAGTCCTCAAAGTGATACAGATATTCAAAAGCAAAAGCTCATCGGAGATGGGCCATACCGGCCTGCCCCAATATTACGTAATATTTGATGAATGTTTTCCAGAGTAACTGGAGATGTCAGAGATGTGTGTAAACGGCCGCAAAAATCTCCTCTTGTGCATGGTTAATTGACATTTTTCGGTGGCAAGAAATATTAAAGAGCTATAATTTTAGTTCGTCAATGTTCGCAGAATCCTCCACTGTTTAAACGATTGCGTGTCCTTTTCACTTACCTTGGGGAGGGAGGTGGGAATTTACTTCTTTCAAAGCATTCTGCACGTCGCTCGCATTTGTAACATCAAGTTGTAATGTGGTCAGTTGTCGAGAGCATTCACTTCTCAGCTTTGCTTGTCCTTCTGAAGTGAGACACCCAGCAAAAACCTGTAAACCTCGAGAATCGAGCTTCTTTGCGAGCTCGTAACCAAAACCACTGTCGCATCCCGTGATAAGAACGGCTTTCTTCTCCAAATCAGAAACGGAAACATCAGGGAACAAAAGGCAAGAAATGAAGTACAGCGTTACAACAAGAATTATCACCAACAGAAAGCCTTGAAGGGAAAACCAAAATTGAGGCAGTTCACTAAACATGTCGGCTGAGACGGCTGGGCGAATAGAGAAACCTAAGCTCCCAGGGGAAAAAGGAAGCATCTACGACGGTCACGCGATAATATGAGGCCGCTCAGTCACGCGAGTTCAAAGAAAGCAGTGAACGAAAACCAAAATGGAAAATATTGATCTTTTTTTATAAACGTTATGTCTTCTTTATGTGTCGCATCTCTAAATGAGTACAATTGATTCTACGGTCTAGCCATTTCTACAGGGGCACCCAACGAGGATATAGTTCAAAACCACTTAAAATAGCATTGTTGAACGTATTTTAGTATTCAAACGGTAGATATAGGCATATTTTTATCCCCTAAAAACTTTTTATCTCTTCGGATTTCCTAGCTGAAAGTCTAGTGATCCGAAAATTATAGGGATAAAAACTCACCTTCTCGAAAATTTCAGCCAGGAAAAGGCTCCCGAAAATTCTAGGTGGCCTTTTTTAGGGTCAAAATCCGTTAAAAATGGGTAATTATACCATTTTGTAGATGTTCGAAAATCCTAGGAGAGGTAGGCAAGCAAGAAATTTTGCAACAAATGCTCCGAAAATTCTAGATCTCAAATCGTCTTCCGAACAGATATTTTCCCGAAAATTGCCGTTGGGTGCCCCTGATTTCTAGGAGGGTAAAGATAGATCTTTCCTGGGTTATTTTTAGAGTGCGACCCACAAGGCCGACAAGATCTCCCGCCTGCGCTCACCACTCCCTCAACAACCCTGCTGCCCTTCACTACAGCTACACGATCCACACTTGTCATGTAGCCTTATTGGGTGTAACCACACCTTATGGACCTGAAATAATTCAGGCTGGTAGCGTCTTGGTTGCAGTCCTCTGTATTGCAAATACAGCTGAACCTCCCGTAAGCGACCACCCAAAATGCGAACATTTAGTGGTCGCTTTAAAAGGCAGGTGGTCGTTTTATTTACGATCAGAATCAAACTACAAGAGTCTCTCTCGAGAAGCAGGTTCCGAGATATCTACTTTTTGGTAAAGAACTGATTTCATGCAGCTTCTAAGTTACGATATGTGTAGTCACTTGTTGTCCCCGATCACTGAAAGTTCTTCGACTATTTTTGTTAGCGTAGTACATACTGAGAACATAGAGATGAGACAAGAGAGGTTAAAAACAATGGGAGATAATAAAATCGTCACCGTCAAAGTGGTCGCGGTCGCTTACCAAAGGTGGTCGTTAACTATAGGGCTTTGACTGAGGAAAATGTTGGTACTTTGCCGGGATATATGGTGGCTTATAGCCTGCGTGGCAGGCGTTTAGGCGCGCGAGAGTGCGCCCCAATTCCCATCCCCTTCCCTTTCGAAAGCCTGCCACGCAAGCTAGGTGGCTTGCGGCAAGTGATCGCACATGGAGATTCGACTGTACAAACTGAGAAACAATGACACCTTTTACGTTGCTTGAATTAAACATCTTACTGGGTAAAAACTACCAAATAACCTTTATTTTAAGGCTAAAAACCATTAGCAAAGTCAATAGGCCGTTTCCGAGTTTCGAAAACCTTCACTTTTAAAACGAGGCTTCATGCAAAACCTTTCTTGTTATAATGAGTTTTATTTGTATGAGAATAAAAATCAATTTCATATCAATGGTTCGTACTTAGCCTCGCTTTGAAACAGACGCTTGGGGGAACCCGAAAATGGCCTATATTTTGTGGGATGAGGGAAAGAGTAGTAGCGCTCTTTTTTATATATATATCGTTTTAAAATTTAAGACTTGATAAACTGGGAAAAAAAACGCTGAAACGCTATCTGACTTACGCTCCGTGCAAACGGACGCAACAACGGTGTAGCTAAACGTTTGACCGGTTTTAAACTTTGCGCAACAACATGCAACAGGCTGCACAAACGGACGCAACATGTAACATCCAACAATGTTGGGAGTTGTTGGTCAACAATGTTGCGTCCGTTTGCACTGGTCTTTACCTTAGCTCAAAAACGTTACGAAGTAAACACTTCCATTTGCTCAGTCTTCTGTAGGCAGTAAAAACAGTTTGAAAACAGTGAATATATTTAACATATTCTTAAAATACATATGTTTATGGAAATCTAGCCTAACACGAACGTCTGGTTAGGTCTGCTATATTGTCTCGGAAGTGAGTAGGCAGGCGCGTAGCTGGGGTTTGAGAAGGGGTGTTCGTACTGATACGAATATTTCTTAACAGCGGGAAATACTGCCAGCGCCAAAGGCGCGAGCCTCTAGGGTTTCTTGGGGCAACTTGCTCCCCCAGAAAATGTTGAAATCTAGAAACCTGGAAATGCTATTTTCAGTAGCCTCCACGTGAATATTCCAAACTCGATCAAGTGAAAAATAACAGGTATTTTTAGTCTTAACAACAATATTTCCGTTTGACCTGGAACATTCATACATAGTGATACATACCGGCTAAGTACACGAAACGTTTACAAAACTCGACGTGTGCTGCAAGGGCGGAGAAGAAGCTTAAGTCCCCCAGTTCCCCGGCTCCGCTGTCTTTCTACTGAAAGAAGCCTCAAAGGTCAATATGTATTAAACAAGTATATCACCTATATTTAGGTCCCCCAAAATCGTATTCCCCGCCTTTCGTCTTTCGAGACTCCATTTGTCAAATTCGGAACGCCTGTTAAGGAAATATCTCAGTCAAGGTGGGATTATTTTGACTACATATAATACAAGGTCACTAGGATATACTGGGGCCACAACATGGGCTACTTAATTACCAACTCACAACAGGACTATCAGGACTTTCCTGCATCATTGAGCTGCAAAGGGTGTTCGTTCGAACCCCTTACCGCCTGGTAGGAATTGTCATCCACGGGTGTGGGTCTTCAAACAGGATTTCAAATACTTTGTAGCGATAAATGGCCATGGTTAGTCTGTGTTGAACGTTTGAAATTTCCTTAAAAGTCCAGATGAAATAAATTATATATGAACTAGGCAGATGAAATTAAATAGAGAAATGACCATCGTAGTTTATATGCAGGCAATTAAACTGAAAAGAAGCCAGGCTTCAAGCACTGATATTTTTCGGGCATTTAATAAACTGTTGTATGATTTGCGCGCATAACTACCTTAACCATTTCTTAAATTTATATTTAATGGAAGATTTTTATTAGGAGTTGTCTTGGTTGTAGCAAGGCTATAGCTTGGCTGACCGGGATAGATTGTCCAGTTTTTACCGTATTTCTAACCATAAAAACTTCATCCCAAAATATCTCGATGACGCCTTAAACCTTTCGAACATCCAGGCGGCTATTGGAGGAAAAATTTCCCGTGAACCATTTTGGAAGAATAGTTCCCAGTGCTGAGAAATACGGCTGCAAGTGAAATAGGTAGTAGCGTCAATTCGTAGCCTGCGTAGCAAGCGTTTCCGTTTGGTTTCGGAGACCGAGGAACGGACGGGATTCTCGGTTTTGGCCGCGCGAGAAATGAAACAAGAGCCAAAAAATGAAAGTGGGGGGAGGGGAAGGGGAAGGAAGGAAACGCTTGCAGACAAACCCCTAGCCTGCGTAGCAGGCGCTTGGAAGTAGCGGGCGAGAGAGACAACGGGCGCGCGCGAGGGAGACACGCAAGGGGTGTCTCCTTCTCGCGCGCCCGTTTTTTCTTGTGCCCACTACTTCCAAGCGCCTGCTAAGCAGGCTAACAAACCCCTCGATTTTGGAAACCTGCGTTCGCCAGCGAACGCAGCTTCTGATTGGCTCGGCTAGTCGAGCAATGTTGACATGTGTCGATCAAAGGTTTGTTTCATACTAAGAGTGCGTGACACGTATATTAATTTTCAGTTGTTGTTTATTCTGGTCGGCAAGATTTGCCCTCCAATGCAAGAACATTTTCTTTGACTTCTTTTGAAACGTAAGGCTCTTCTTGCGACTAAATAAGGGTTTCAGGTCGTTTAATTTATTCTCCAAAGTGCCTCCTGGATCTGAATAACTAAAGCGATTTTCTTTTGTTCGCGAATGCGATGGTTTCCTGCAGTTTGTCATGCTGGGCCCAGCTCGTTAGTGTTTTTTTCTTTTTTGTTAGCGATGTTGAATTCTCTCAGATGGTGATTTACAGACTGTTCTGTTAGACGGATTAAAAAGAAAAATGTCCAAGGCCTGTATTGATCGTTCGGATTCATTGACATTTCAACATAAACGCCGTCAACGTGTTACAAAATACAAAAAATATATTTTGGGTTCACATACCCGTCCTCTAAAGTTATTTCCGCTCCACTGAAAGCTAAACATTTTATTGGTCAATTATTACAGCTTATGACAGCATCAAATGTCGGTGAGCGAACTCAGGCATGACAGGCCAAGTGGGAGGTTTTCAAAATCCCGGGGTTTGTCTGCAAGCGTTTCCTTCCTTTCTTCCCCCCCCCCCCGCTCTTTTACTTACGCCATTTTTCGCGCGGTCTTTGACTCTCGCTCCTTGTTCTTTGCTCCTAACCCGCACGGAAACGCTTGCTACGCAGGCTAGTCAATTCGTTGCTACAACAACTCCGATGTAATTGTTACCCTGATCACAACAAATTTTCATCTTTCTCTTATACAGCTGTGGTGGTAATTTTTGCAAATCTTTGTTAATGGCGATTGATCCTGAAAACCCCTATCGAGCTCCCTTAACCAACGACGACTACCACGGCAGTAAAACGTTGCTAAAAAGGAATTTGCGTCCTTTCAAACTTCATCTCGTCTATTTGGACCCCTTCAATTTGTTAAATGTAGGCTTTTTTCTAGAGCTGAATTCTAAAGGACTTTATACAGGTGCAACGAGATAAGGGAAAATTTTTTATAGAGTAATCGAGTTCGCTTGTTTTATTCAAAGTTGCAATAGGCACGCAATACGTGCGAACGTAAACAAGCCAAGTAAACAATCCAATCGACGCGAATGACTGCCGCGCGCTGCGTCACAACACAGCATTTATCATCGATACATACGCCCCACAGATAAAGAATGACAAACAAATTTTCAATAGAAACAAACTTTTTGGAAAAACAAGGTACACTGAGTGTAACAAACTGTCGCAGCACATTTGGTGTGAATGGTTTGGCTTATTGCCAAGAGTTTGACAACGTTCTTGCCCTCAGTTGTCGAGCGCCAAAGAAGATGTCTCGCAAAATTCCATGATCTCGTGCATGAGATAATTAAGGGTAACATTGAGTGATGCATAATTTCATTGCATACTTTCGGAAAGGAGGTGATTTCTTAAAACCTTTTTGGGCAAAATGACCTCGTAAACAAGTTGCATTCTTTCACGGTCGAACCGTAAAAGAGGCAGAGTCCAACATCTTCACGTGCAAACCGTGTTCTATTTTCAAAACCGTTGGGTTAATTAGATTAAGTCGTATTCTCTCACACACGAACCACGAAAACGGCAATTCCAAAGCTTTCACATGCAAACTGCGAGACAATACAACTCACAATAAGGGCCTGATCACATGAGCCTGGAAAGCAATGCCCATGAACAGTGTGTTACCTGTTGTCCTGTTTTTCGCTTGATTGACTCCCCTGGCCGCCCGGCAAGGGTGATTACTAGGAAAATTTCCACCCGGATCCCGGCATCACAATACTGGGATCCCAGCTAACCGGGCTGGCTCGTTTGTCATATAATCGCAAAGTTGATTTTTGTAGCGTTTATCTAAGGTGCCGGGTTTTCCGCAAAGTGGGCCAGCCTGGCGCGTGTAATCAGGCCCTAAGTTCCATACCCAAATTTTACGCCTTCCCCTTGACCTCACCAATTTTTCAAAGCTCCCGAGCACACACTTAAAACTTCAGCCCTCCCGCCTCAACATCTTCTTTTCTATATTAAATGAACTTTTGGCCTAATCCATGTTCTCTCGATAAAAACATTACCAAGAATAAGCGAAAAGCAATCCTAAACAAAAAACTTAACAGCGTTTAAAATAAGTACAGGTATGTTTTCGACTATTGATAAGACTTTTCACAACCACCACTTCATTCAGCTGTTCATTTCAACACACTGTATCTACACTATCCCTTCGTAACCAAATTAGCACTTCCACAACTACCTCACTGCAACACCTATTATTTTGTTACTTCATATTAAATTCTACGACAAACAAGTTTCACTGATTAACAAACCACAGCCATTATCCTACCAGCTCACGTCCAATGAAACTCTACGCCTTCCACTACAAGCGCGTCTCAACCAACCCCTAAAATATGCAACGCTACTGCACTACTCACACATCCCTAATACACATTAAAAACTTCACTCACGCGCAGTACATCGACGCCCAAATATACGCTCCCACAGCGTCTTGTTTTCATATGTTCACGTCCTCCAGTCCATGAGGCATCGCATTAGGAGGTTTCACGTCATATTCGTGCAGAATTCGTGCAGCGGACGTCAAAGAAAATGTACTAAAAAGGGTGATACTCATGCAGAGCTGTTGTTTTGTTCATTTAAAAACCAATTTAGGTTTTCTGTCGTTCTCATCGTCGTCATTGTGGTTTATTGCGTAGGCCCTGTCTATACGAATCCGGATATTTTTGAACCCGCAACTTTCCCTTTCCGGATACAAAAATTTCCACGTCCACACGTATCCAGATATTTTTAAATCCGCAACAAAACTGACCTGCCTGAAACATAAAGCTTGATTCACTTAGTTTCCTAACCCTAATCGCTTTAACTTCAGTCATTTATTTGTAAATTAACTCAGTATTTTTTTATGGTTAAGTGGTAGTCTTCTTTTTTAAAGTTTTTGCCCAAAAAGTGAGGGGGCGCGGGCCCCCCCCCCCTCCTACCCCTATGACCCTGCTTGGGTGTCTCCAAGTCATATTTTAACCTAAAAATGCACTGCAGAAACTAACAATGCATTTGAAATGTTATCATTGTCTACTAAAAGATGAAACTTGGAGACAATGCCCTAGAATAATGAGAGGCTCACACTTGTAAACACGAAATTTCTGACAGAAAAATAATGAATTGGAGCCCTTATTTAACTTCCTTACAAAACATAATAATCTTGAAACTCAAAGGTGACCTTATAAAACGACAGTGTTAATAAAAAATCAATCCAATGTTTACAAAACCGCTAACAAGAGCGCCTCGATAATTATTTATCAAATCCCTTTTTAGTTTAATATTTCATTGCTAAGTATGATTTACGGAGCTCCTTTGTGTGCTTGCATAGAAGGAAGAATTAAATCTTGTATTTCAGATGGCAAAAGTGAAAGAGGCCTCCAAAAGAACTTGTGGTCCCATCCTACTCCATACCGCAGCTTAGGTCGAGTGGATGTCACAGCATGCGTCATTGCATCAACCACTTTGTAAATATGTGGTGACAGAAAAAACCTAAACTGACCACCATACATGACCTTTCCTAGGGAAGATTAAGTATAATATGGACATTAACAAACCATCCGTTACAAAATGATTCCACTTCTAGCGAGTAAAACAGTATTCTGTAATTAATAATGAAAATAATAATTTAGTCCTAGGCAGTGGCGTAGCATGAGATTTTGAAGGTGTATGCACATGGGGAGAAAGTTTGTAGCGTCGAAGGCAGCCAACCTAGGGCCAGGGGGCTGGGGGCATGCTCCCCCAGAAAATTTTAAAACTTAGGGTCTCAGAAGTGCCATTTCCAGCGTTTTCAGCAGTACATTTTCAGTAAATCAATATGCAGGAAAATGCAGTAGTTTTGTCTATTTCACTCAGCTCTAGCTAGTGTTGTCAGTAAGGTACGGTGTTTATGGAAGAAAAAGGCCACTGACAACATCAGAATTAAGGAATAATAAAAGGATAAAAGAAATATACTGACACAAACACACCAACACAGTGCGCAAAATGTATCAGTCATCCCGACTTAGGGACCGGTCATTATTTATGTTGGGGGGTTGGGGGGGAAAAATCATGGGGTGGGCCAGGCCTATTTTTTTAGAAAAAAGGGGTGGGCCAAAAGAGAATTTCACGATGATTGGGGGTGGGTCATTGTGTGTTCCAGAAAAGCAAGTTCGAGCCTTAAAAGATGTACATTGCTATGACTGGAAAACACTTGTAGAGAAGGGGGTGCTTGACACTATGAAAGTCCCCGATCGCGAGTTGGACAAATACATTGAGCATAATAAACTTAGCAAGAACGGACAGAAAATCGACAAAATCAAGCGAATCACAGTACACTATTACGAAACTTCAAAGGAATCTACATTTCCTTCAAGCGTCAGTGTTGGTAAGGACAGTGATGAGAGTGACAGTGACAATGACCTTGTTTTGTGTGATGAAAGTAAAAGCGATGATGACAGTCATACTGTAACAATACAAGAAGGCACATCAACAAGAAGTGGCCGCAGAGTAGGACACTAGTCCACAAGATATGCTGATTTTGTTCAGTGAACAGGAACTCCTTATAGAGGTATAGATTGAAGGGGGTTGGGGGTGTGTCACCTCTTATATAAAGTTATATGGGGGTGGGTCAAGAATTAACTAATGGGCTTAAAGGGGTGGGTCACGTTTTTTCTTTCATGCTAAAACAAAAACAATCCCACACACACACACACACACATAAATAATGACCGGTCCCTTAATGATAAGAAATGTTTTTCCGGTGAAAAAATAATTCTTTCCATATTTCAGCTGTACATGTACACATGGTTGTAATGGACAGGTGACTTAAATTTATTTTTTTCTAAGCTGTAATTCAACCATTTATGACGTATCACCAGTGATGAGATGGATTTCAATGTCCCCATAATTATTTTTTTGCCATGTCCCTCTTTTCAATTTCAAATGAAATACTGTAAAAATTCCGAAAATAAGCCCCTCCATGTATAAGCCCCTCCAAATATAAGCCCCCTAAACCGGTAACACAAAAAACCCTCCATTAAATTGCCCCTCCGCATATATAAAAAGCCCCCCGGGGCTTGTACTTGGAAAATTGCCCTCAAATACAAAGTAAAACAAAGCAAAAACAGTAAATTTACTTCCAACTGTAAGGCTAGCCCAATCGATTTTGAGACGCAAATTTCCCTCTGTAGATAAGCCCCTCCGAATATAAGCCCCTCCAAAAAATAAGCCTCCAAAAAGGGCCTTTGAAAAATATAAGCCCCGGGGCTTATTTTCAGAATTTTACGGTATTAACAATTTTATCTCAACTGTTGTGGGCCCGGACTATCCGCAAGTCAGCAAGCCATGCAATCCGTCCAAGTCATTGGGAAAAAATAAAGTTTTATAAAATTATCAATACATGAAAAATGTTTCCTGCATAGTTCCCTATGGGCTTGTGAGGTTTTTCTGCTGGAATATTTACAGAATTAAGCAGTCTTGGTTGACTTTCACTAATTAAGCCTTTAAGTGCACAAAATCAGGAGATTTAATGTTTGAGGGAAGGGGACTGGTGTACACAGACTAGCTTTCAGTTAATTTTTCTTATTATTGCTTTTTCGATGTTTTGGTAATTAAAACTTCTTCCAAGGTTAAATAAATAAGGTTGTGGCTCACCAATATAAGTGTCAGGTGTAAAAAAAAAAAGTGATAGCCAAGCTCTCGCATGCGCAAAGCATCAGAGCACCTCGGGTAAGAAAATTGGCTACTCGTGATGAAACAAGAGAGAATGCGCTCTTGCATGAGCTCATCCATCTAAGGTGCTCATGTGTACATCTCATTGAGTTGAGCAAAGGGGGGGGGGGGGGGGGTGGGGGATACTGCCTTATATGGGCCATATAGGTATGTGCCGATGTGAAGGGTATGGTTTTCAAGCAGGGTATATAAATGAAAGAGTTTGGGTCTAGAAGAGGGTATCATTTTCCATTTAAACTGATCAATTGGCTGAAGATTTTAGTCTAGACTAGGGAAACCGGGAATTGCCACTCAAGAATATAAAAAAATCAAATCGGTTTTGGTTTCCCTGGACTGTGCTAGTGACCTCAGTTGTTTCTGGAAAACAGCTACTCTAGGATGGGGGGGGGGGTTGGGGAGTTTAGTATGGTATGGGGTAGCAAAATTCACTTAAACTAGCTCTGGTACAGGCTGAGGGTTCCAGGGTCCAAACGGCACATCCCCACCCAAAAAGTCCTAAAGTACCCCCCCCTGGGGGGGGAGGGTGAGCAAGGGTGGCACAGTTGGTTAGTGCACATTCTTTGGTACATGAAGTCCCGAGTTTGATCCCCGGTGACACCGCATCCTTGTTTCAACTTCTCTCCTTTCTGTGTAGCTCAATTGACTAGCTTTAAGTTCTCTTAAAATGGAACGCTGATGGAGAGAGGGCCCCCGTAAAATGAGCGCATCATCAAGCTCAAGTTAATATCAGTTATCGTCATACTGTCATGAGTTATCGATGTAAAATATGGTTGCTTTACCTTTGTACCTTTCAGGTGACGTGTTTTTTAAAGTTCTCTGCTGACCAGTTATGGTAATAAAGTGATCGAAGACTCTCAAAACTTTACTTCAGAAAGACATTTCTTAAAAGTTCATGCGAGAGTATCGCTTTGGGTCAGTCTATATATTACTTACCTAAATTTAGCTCTCCTCCGTAACTTTCCTTTGTGTCCACATCAAGGTTAGCCCATAACTTCTCTACCTGCTTTATAGCCACTTCACGATTTAGCAGGTTGGTTCTAAACATACCAGGGTCCAAAATGTGAACAGAAACACCAAACTGCTTTACCTCTCGACGCAGAGAATCACAAAATGCTTGAACACCATGCTTTGATATGCAATATGCTGTTAGAGAGGGGAGCGAAATTGTTCCCAATGTACTAGCTACTTTAACAATGCGTCCCTTGGTTTTCTTAAGCTGTGGCAAGAATGCCTTGGACACTGATACCATCCCCCAGAGATTGACATCAAGAACGTGCTTCATTTCTTCTACAGTCTGCCATTCAGTAAGACCCCGGGCTACAATCCCAGCATTATTCACTACAGCCCACAAACCTAAAAGTACATCAAGACATGTTGTTTCAACTGCAAAAAACACTCATCGCATGTTTACTGCTTTCCTGGGCTGTTCCAGGCTCCGACATAGACTGGTCTGCGAAATTGAGACAGTTCAAACACAAAACAAAAACTCGGGAGAGGAAACTGGAAGGAAACTTTTTACTGTTACCCCCACCTTTTCCCAGATCACGCACCTATATTTTTGCGTGCACTTCACTTACAGGTCATCGCTACTATCTGAGAGCTTGGAACAGGCTACGGCTTTCCATGCGAATTTTATTACATCTTTACTATTATAAAAGTGCTTTCTTGGACGGCATAAAATTACATGCACTTGTTTGCGAGCTGCAGGTTCCTGAGTGGAAGGGCTTGGGACCAACCAAACCTCAGTGGGGGGTATTTGGCCCTATATTGGTCCATACAGGGAGGTTCCTCCCAAAAGGGTACCTTTTTCAGGCCTCTCCAGGGGTTGACCCATATTTTATGGTAGTCTTCAGGGGTGAATACAATTTTAATGGAATTCTCCAAGGGTACGAGAAAAGGTGAGTCCTCAAACAGGCGGTAAGGTGATACAGATATTCAAAAGCAAAAGCTCACCAATATTTGATGAATGTTTTCAGATTAACTGGAGATGTCAGAGATGTGTGTAAACGGCGGCAAAAATCGGTGGCAAGAAATATTCAAGAGCTGTAATTTCGGTTCGTCAATGTTCGCAGAATCCTCCACTGTTTAAACGATTGCGTGTTCTTTTCACTTACCTTGGGGAGGGAGGTGGGAATTTACTTCTTTCAAAGCATTCTGCACGTCGCTCGCATTTGTAACGTCAAGTTGTAATGTGGTCAGTTGTCGAGAGCATTCACTTCTCAGCTTTGCTTGTCCGTCTGAAGTGAGACACCCAGCAAAAACCTGTAAACCTCGAGAATCGAGCTTCTTTGCGAGCTCGTAACCAAAACCACTGTCGCATCCCGTGATAAGAACGGCTTTCTTCTCCAAATCAGAAACAGAAACATCAGGGAACAAAAGGCAAGAAATGAAGTACAGCGTTACAACAAGAATTATCACCAACAGAAAGCCTTGAAGGGAAAACAAAAATTGAGGCAGTTCGCTAAACATGTCGGCTGAGACGGCTGGGCGAGTAGAGAAACCTAAGCTCCCAGGGGAAAAAGGAAGCATCTACGACGGTCACGCGATAATATGACGCCCCTCAGTCACGCGAGTTCAAAGAAAGCAGTGAACGAAGACCAAAATGGAAAATATTGATCTTTTTTTATAAACGTTATGTCTTCTTTATGTGTCGCATTTCTAAATGAGTACAATTGATTCTACGGTCTAGCCATTTCTTAGACTGCAAAACAGTCGGTTTTTTTCTCAAAGTCAGTAAAGAAATCGGTAAAGCGTGGCGTAAGAGTCTTACGCGCGCCAAGCGCGCGAGCCTCACACGCCCGTAGGGCGTGTGAGGCGAGAGCTCTCCCCAGTCTCGCTCTCTGTTTTCAGCCTCATTCCAGACCTTTTGTTTGACTGCTCGCGCGTACTTGAATACGCAAAAATACGGACTGTTTTGCAGTCTAGCCATTTCTAGGAGGGTAAAGATAGACCTTTCCTGGGTTATTTTTAGAGTGCGATCCACAAGGCCGACAAGATCTCCCGCCTGCGCTCACCACTCCCTCAACAACCCTGCTGCCCTTCACTACACGATCCACACTTGTCATGTAGCCTTATTGGGTGTAACCACACCTTATGGACCTGAAATAATTCAGGCTGGTAGCGTATTGGTTGCAGTCCTCTGTATTGCGAATACAGCCGAACCTCCCGTAAGCACCCACCCAAAATGCGAACAATTAGTGGTCGCTTTAAAAGGCAGGTGGTCGTTTTAATACGATCAGAATCAAACTACAAGAGTCTCTCTCGAGAAGCAGGTTCCGAGATATCTACTTTTTGGGAAAGAACTGATTTCATGCAACTTCTAAGTTACGATATGTGTAGTCACTTGTTGTCCCCGATCACTGAAAGTTCTTCGACTATTTTTGTTAGCGTAGTACATACTGAGAACATAGAGATGAGACAAGAGAGGTTAAAAACAATGGGAGATAATAAAATCGTCACCGTCAAAGTGGTCGCGGTCGCTTACCAAAGGTGGTCGTTAACTATAGGGCTTTGACTGAGGAAAATGTTGGTACTTTGCCGGGATATATGGTGGCTTATAGCCTGCGTGGCAGGCGTTTAGGCGCGTGAGAGCGCGCCCCAATTCCCTTCCCCTTCCCTTTCGAAAGCCTGCCACGCAGGCTAGGTGGCTTGTGGCAAGTGATCGCACATGGAGATTCGACTGTACAAACTGAGAAACAATGACACCTTTTACGTTGCTTGAATTAAACATCTTACTGGGTAAAAACTACCAAATAACCTTCATTTTAGAGCTAAAAACCATTAGCAAAGTCAATAGGCCATTTCCGAGTTTCGAAAACCTCCACTTTTAAGCGAGGCTTCATGCAAAACCTTTCTCGTTATAATGAGTTTTATTTGCATGAGAGTAAAAATCAATTTGATATCAATGGGTTCGTACTTAGCCTCGCTTTGAAACAGACGCTTGGGGGAACCCGAAAATGGCCTATATTTTGTGGGATGAGGGAAAGAGTAGTAGTGCTCTTTTTTATATATATATCGTTTTAAAATTTAAGACTTGATAAACTGGGAAAAAAAACGCTGAAACGCTATCTGACTTACGCTCCGTGCAAACGGACGCAACAACGGCGTAGCTAAACGTTTGACCGGTTTTCAACTTTGCGCAACAACATGCAACAGGCTGCACAAACGGACGCAACATGTAACATCCAACAATGTTGGGAGTTGTTGGTCAACAATGTTGCGTCCGTTTGCACTGGTCTTTACCTTAGCTCAAAAACGTTACGAAGTAAACACTTCCATTTGCTCAGTCTTCTGTAGGCAGTAAAAACAGTTTGAAAACAGTGAATATATTTCACATGTTCTTAAAATACATATGTTTATGGAAATCTAGCCTAACACGAACGTCTGGTTAGGTCTGCTATATTGTCTCGGAAGTGAGTAGGCAGGCGCGTAGCTGGGGTTTGAGAAGGGGTGTTCGTACTGATACGAATATTTCTTAACAGCGGGAAATACTGCCAGCGCCAAAGGCGCGAGCCTCTAGGGGTTTCTTGGGGCAACTTGCTCCCTCAGAAAATGTTGAAATCTAGAAACCTGGAAATGCTATTTTCAGTAGTCTCCACGTGAATATTCCAAACTCGATCAAGTGGAAAATAACAGGTATTTTTAGTCTTAACAACAATATTTCCGTTTGACCTGGAACATTCATACATAGTGATACATACCGGCTAAGTACAAGAAACGTTTACAAAACTCGACGTGTGCTGCAAGGGCGGAGAAGAAGCTTAAGTCCCCCAGTTCCCCGGCTCCGCTGTCTTTGTACTGAAAGAAGCCTCAAAGGTCAATATGTATTAAACAAGTATATCACCTATATTTAGGTCCCCCAAAATCGTATTCCCCGCCTTTCGTCTTTCGAGACTCCATTTGTCAAATTCGGAACGCCTGTTAAGGAAATATCTCAGTCAAGGTGGGATTATTTTGACTACATTGTACATATAATACAAGGTCACTAGGATATACTGGGGCCACAACATGGGCTACTTAATTACCAACTCACAACAGGACTATCAGGACTATCCTGCATCATTGACCTGCAAAGGGTGTTCGTTCGAACCCCTTACCGCCTGGTAGGAATTGTCATCCACGGGTGTGGGTCTTCAAACAGGATTTCAAATACTTTGTAGCGATAAATGGCCATAGTTAGTCTGTGTTGAACGTTTGAAATTTCCTTAAAAGTCCAGATGAAATAAATTATATATGAACTAGGCAGATGAAATTAAATAGAGAAATGACCATCGTAGTTTATATGCAGGCAATTAAACTGAAAAGAAGCCAGGCTTCAAGCACTGATATTTTTCGGGCATTTAATAAACTGTTGTATGATTTGCGCGCATAACTACCTTAACCATTTCTTCAATTTATATTTAATGGAAGATTTTTATTAGGAGTTGTCTTGGCTGTAGCAAGGCTATAGCTTGGCTGACCGGGATAGATTGTCCAGTTTTTACCGTATTTCTAACCATAAAAACTTCATCCCAAAATATCTCGATGACGCCTTAAACCTTTCGAACATCGAGGCGGCTATTGGAGGAAAAAGTTCCCGTGAACCATTTTGGAAGAATAGTTCCCAGTGCTGAGAAATACGGCTGCAAGTGAAATAGGTAGTAGCGTCAATTCGTAGCCTGCGTAGCAAGCGTTTCCGTTTGGTTTCGGAGACCGAGGAACGGACGGGATTCTCGGTTTTGGCCGCGCGAGAAATGAAACAAGAGCCAAAAAATGAAAGTGGGGGGAGGGGAAGGGGAAGGAAGGAAACGCTTGCAGACAAACCCCTCGATTTTGGAAACCTGCGTTCGCCAGCGAACGCAGCTTCTGATTGGCTCGGCTAGTCGAACAATGTTGACATATGTCGATCAAAGGTTTGTTTCATACTAAGAGTACGTGACACGTATATTAATTTTCAGTTGTTGTTTATTCTGGTCGGCAAGATTGGCCCTCCAATGCAAGAACATTTTCTTTGACTTCTTTTGAAACGTAAGGCTCTTCCTGCGACTAAATAAGGGTTTCAGGTCGTTTAATTTATTCTCCAAAGTGCCTCCTGGATCTGAATAACTAAAGCGATTTTCTTTTGTTCGCGAATGCGATGGTTTCCTGCAATTTGCCATGCTGGGCCCAGCTCGTTAGTGTTTTTTTCTTTTTTGTTAGGGATGTTGAATTCTCTCAGATGGTGATTTACAGACTGTTCTGTTAGACGGATTAAAAAGAAAAATGTCCAAGGCCTGTATTGATCGTTCGGATTCCTTGACATTTCAACATAAACGCCGTCAACGTGTTACAAAATACAAAAAAATATATTTTGGGTTCACATACCCGTCCTCTAAAGTTATTTCCGCTCCACTGAAAGCTAAACATTTTATTGGTCAATTATTACAGCTGATGACAGCATCAAATGTCGGTGAGCGAACTCAGGCATGACAGGCCAAGTGGGAGGTTTTCAAAATCCCGGGGTTTGTCTGCAAGCGTTTCCTTCCTTTCTTCCCCACCCCCTCCCCGCTCTTTTACTTACGCCATTTTTCGCGCGGTCTTTGACTCTCGTTCCTTGTTCTTAGCTCCTAACCCGCACGGAAACTCTTCCTACGCAGGCTAGTCAATTCGTTGCTACAACAACTCCGATGTAATTGTTACCCTGATCACAACAAATTTTCATGTTTCTCTTATACAGCTGTGGTGGTAATTTTTCCAAATCTTTGTTAATGGCGATTGATCCTGAAAACCCCTATCGAGCTCCCTTAACCAACGACGACTACCACGGCAGTAAAACGTTGCTAAAAAGGAATTTGCGTCCTTTCAAACTTCATCTCGTCTATTTGGACCCCTTCAATTTGTTAAATGTAGGCTTTTTTCTAGAGCTGAATTCTAAAGGACTTTATACAGGTGCAACGAGATAAGGGAAAATTTTTTATAGAGTAATCGAGTTCGCTTGTTTTATTCAAAGTTGCAATAGGCACGCAATACGTGCGAACGTAAACAAGCCAAGTAAACAATCCAATCGACGCGAATGACTGCCGCGCGCTGCGTCACAACACAGCATTTATCATCGATACATACGCCCCACAGATAAAGAATGACAAACAAATTTTCAATAGAAACAAACTTTTTGGAAAAACAAGGTACACTGAGTGAAACAAACTGTCGCAGCACATTTGGTGTGAATGGTTTGGCTTATTGCCAAGAGTTTGACAACGTTCTTGCCCTCAGTTGTCGAGCGCGAAAGAAGATGTCTCGCAAAATTCCATGATCTCGTGCATGAGATAATTAAGGGTAACATTGAGTGATGCATAATTTCATTGCATATTTTCGGAAAGGAGGTGATTTCTTAAAACCTTTTTGGGCAAAATGACCTCGTAAACAAGTTGCATTCTTTCACGGTCGAACCGTAAAAGAGGCAGAGTCCAACATCTTCACGTGCAAACCGTGTTCCATTTTCAAAACCCTTGGGTTAATTAGATTAAGTCGTATTCTCTCACACACGAACCACGAAAACGGCAATTCCACAGCTTTCACGTGCAAACTGCGTGACAATACAACTCACAATAAGGGCCTGATCACATGACCTTGGAAAGCAATGCCCATGAACAGTGTGTTACCTGTTGTCCTGTTTTTCTCTTGATTGACTCCCCTGGCCGCCCGGCAAGGGTGATTACTAAGAAAATTTCCACCCGGATGCCGGCATCACAATACTGGGATCCCAGCTAACCGGGCTGGCTCGTTTGTCATATAATCGCAAAGTTGATTTTTGTAGCGTTTATCTAAGGTGCCGGGTTTTCTGCAAAGTGGGCCAGCCTGGCGCATGTAATCAGGCCCTAAGTTCCATAGCCAAATTTTACGCCTTCCCCTTGACCTCACCGAATTTCAAAGCTCCCGAGCACACACTTAAAACTTCAGCTCTCCCGCTTCAACATCTTCTTTTCGATATTAAATGAACTTTTGGCCTAATCCATGTTCTCTCGATACAAACATTACCAAGAATAAGCGAAAAGCAATCCTAAACAAAAAACTTAACAGCGTTTAAAATAAGTACAGGTATGTTTTCGACTATTGATAAGACTTTTCACAACCACCACTTCATTCAGCTGTTCATTTCAACACACTGTATCTACACTATCCCTTCGTAACCAAATTAGCACTTCCACAACTACCTCACTGCAACACCTATTATTTTTTGTTACTTCATATTAAATTCTACGACAAACAAGTTTCACTGATTAACAAACCACAGCCATTATCCTACCAGTTCACGTCCAATGAAACTCTACGCCTTCCACTACAAGCGCGTTTCAACCAACCCCTAAAATATGCAACGCTACTGCACTACTCACACATCCCTAATACAGATTAAAAACTTCACTCACGCGCAGTACATCGACGCCCAAATATACGCTCCCACAGCGTCTTGTTTTCATATGTTCACGTCCTCCAGTCCATGAGGCATCGCATTAGGAGGTTTCACGTCATATTCGTGCAGAATTCGTGCAGCGGACGTCAAAGAAAATGTACTAAAAAGGGTGATACTCATGCAGAGCTGTTGTTTTGTTCATTTAAAAACCAATTTAGGTTTTCTGTCGTTCTCATCGTCGTCATTGTGGTTTATTGCGTAAGCCCTGTTTATACGAATCCGGATATTTTTGAACCCGCAGCTTTCCCTTTCCGGATACAAAAATTTCCACGTCCACACGTATCCAGATATTTTTAAATCCGCAACAAAACTGACCTGCCTGAAACATAAAGCTTGATTCACTTAGTTTCCTAACCCTAATCGCTTTAACTTCAGTCATTTATTTGTAAATTAACTCAGTATTTTTTTTATGGTTAAGTGGTAGTCTTCTTTTTTAAAGTTTTTGCCCAAAAAGTGAGGGGGCGCGGGCCCACCCTCCCTCCTACCCCTATGACCCTGCTTGGGTGTCTCCAAGTCATATTTTAACCTGAAAATGCACAGCAGAAACTAACAATGCATTTGAAATGTTATCATTGTCTACTAAAATATGAAACTTGGAGACAATGCCCTAGAATAATGAGAGGCTCACACTTGTAAACACGAAATTTCTGACAGAAAAATAATGAATTGGAGCCCTTATTTAACTTCCTTACAAAACATAATAATCTTGAAACTCAAAGGTGATCTTATAAAACGACAGTGTTAATAAAAAGTCAATCCAATGTTTACAAAACCGCTAACAAGAGCGCCTCGATAATTATTTATCAAATCCCTTTTTAGTTTAATATTTCATTGCTAAGTATGATTTACGGAGCTCCTTTGTCTGCTTGCATAGAAGGAAGAATTAAATCTTGTATTTCAGATGGCAAAAGTGAAAGAGGCCTCCAAAAGAACTTGTGGTCCCATCCTACTCCATACCGCAGCTTAGGTCGAGTGGATGTCACAGCATGCGTCATTGCATCAACCACTTTGTAAATATGTGGTGACAGAAAAAACCTAAACTGACCACCATACATGACCTTTCCTAGGGAAGATTAAGTATAATATGGACATTAACAAACCATCCGTTACAAAATGATTCCACTTCTAGCGAGTAAAACAGTATTCTGTAATTAATAATGAAAATAATAATTTAGTCCTAGGCAGTGACGTAGCATGAGATTTTGAAGGTGTATGCACATGGGGAGAAAGTTTGTAGCGTCGAAGGCAGCCAACCTAGGGCCAGGGGGGTGGGGGCATGCTCCCCCAGAAAATTTTAAACCTTAGGGTCCCAGAAGTGCCATTTCCAGCGTTTTCAGCAGTACATTTTTAGTAAATCAATATGCAGGAAAATGCAGTAGTTTTGTCTATTTTACTCAGCTCTAGCTAGTGTTGTCAGTAAGGTACGGTGTTTATGGAAGAAAAAGGCCACTGACAACATCAGAATTAAGGAATAATAAAAGGATAAAAGAAATATACTGACACAAACACGCCAACACAGTGCGCAAAATGTATCAGTCATCCCGACTTAGGGACCGGTCATTATTTATGTTGGGGGGTGGGGGGGGAAAAATCATGGGGTGGGCCAGGCCTATTTTTTTAGAAAAAAGGGGTGGGCCAAAAGAGAATTTCACGATGATTGGGGGTGGGTCATTGTGTGTTCCAGAAAAGCAAGTTCGAGCCTTAAAAGATGTACATTGCTATGACTGGAAAACACTTGTAGAGAAGGGGCAGCTTGACACTATGAAAGTCCCCGATCGCGAGTTGGACAAATACATTGAGCATAATAAACTTAGCAAGAACGGACAGAAAATCGACAAAATCAAGCGAATCACAGTACACTATTACGAAACTTCAAAGGAATCTACATTTCCTTCAAGCGTCAGTGTTGGTGAGGACAGTGATGAGAGTGACAGTGACAATGACCTTGTTTTGTGTGATGAAAGTAAAAGCGATGATGACAGTCATACTGTAACAATACAAGAAGGCACATCAACAAGAAGTGGCCGCAGAGTAGGACACTAGTCCACAAGATATGCTGATTTTGTTCAGTGAACAGGAACTCCTTATAGAGGTATAGATTGAAGGGGGTTGGGGGTGTGTCACCTCTTATATAAAGTTATATGGGGGTGGGTCAAGAATTAACTAATGGGCTTAAAGGGGTGGGTCACGTTTTTTCTTTCATGCTAAAACAAAAAAAAATCCCACCACCCCCATAAATAATGACCGGTCCCTTAATGATAAGAAATGTTTTCCGGTGAAAAAATAATTCTTTCCATATTTCAGCTGTACATGTACACATGGTTGTAACGGACAGGTGACTTAAATTTATTTTTTCTAAGCTGTAATTCAACCATTTATGACGTATCACCAGTGATGAGATGGATTTCAATGTCCCCATAATTATTTTTTTTTTGCCATGTCCCTCTTTTCAATTTCAAATGAAATACTGTAAAAATTCCGAAAATAAGCCCCTCCATGTATAAGCCCCTCAAATATAAGCCCCTAAACCGGTAACACAAAAAACCCTCCATTAAATTGCCCCTCCGCATATATAAAAAGCCCCCGGGGCTTGTACTTGGAAAATTGCCCTCAAATACAAAGTAAAACAAAGCAAAAACAGTAAATTTACTTCCAACTGTAAGGCTAGCCCAATCGATTTTGAGACGCAAATTTCCCTCTGTAGATAAGCCCCTCCAAAAATAAGCCGCCACAAAGGGCCTTTGAAAAATATAAGCCCCGGGGCTTATTTTCGGAATTTTACGGTATTAACAATTTTATCTCAACTGTTGTGGGGCCGGACTATCCGCAAGTCAGCAAGCCATGCAATCTGTCCAAGTCATTGGGAAAAAATAAAGTTTTATAAAATTATCAATACATGAAAAATGTTTCCTGCATAGTTCCCTATGGGCTTGTGAGGTTTTTCTGCTGGAATATTTACAGAATTAAGCAGTCTTGGTTGACTTTCACTAATTAAGCCTTTAAGTGCACAAAATCAGGAGATTTAATGTTTGAGGGAAGGGGACTGGTGTACACAGACTAGCTTTCAGTTAATTTTTCTTATTATTGCTTTTTCGATTTTTTGGTAATTAAAACTTCTTCCAAGGTTAAATAAATAAGGTTGTGGCTCACCAATATAAGTGTCAGGTGTCAAAAAAAAAAGTGATAGCCAAGCTCTCGCATGCGCAAAGCATCAGAGCACCTCGGGTAAGAAAATTGGCTACTCGTGATGAAACAAGAGAGAATGCGCTCTTGCATGAGCTCATCCATCTAAGGTGCTCATGTGTACATCTCATTGAGTTGAGCAAAGGGGGGGGAGGGGGGAGGGGGGTTGGGGGATACTGCCTTATATGGGCCATATAGGTATGTGCTGCTGTGAAGGGTATGGTTTTCAAGCAGGGTATATAAATCAGAGAGTCTGGGTCTAGAGGAGGTATCATTCTCCATTTAAACTGATCAATTGGCTGAAGATTTTAGTCCAGACTAGGAAACCGGGAATTGCCACTCAAGAATATAAAAAAATCAAATCGGTTTTGTTTTGGCTGGACTGTGCTGGTGACCTCAGTTGTTTCTGGAAAACAGCTACTCTAGGATGGGGGGGGGATTTGGGGAGTTTAGTCGAGCATAGGGTAGCAAAATTCACTTAAACTAGCTCTGGTACAGGCTAGCGGTTCCAGGGTCCCAGCGGCACATCCCCACCCAAAAAGTCCTAAAGTACCCTCCCAGGGGTTGAGCAAGGGTGACACAGTTGGTTCCTGCACATTCCTCGGTACATGAAGTCCCGAGTTTTCGATCCCCAGTGACACCACATCCTGGTTTCAACTTCTCTCCTTTCTGTGTAGCTCAATTCACTAGCTTTAAATACCCTTAAAACGGAACGCTGATGGAGAGAGGGCCCCCGTAAATGAGCACATCATCAAGCTCAAGTTAATATCAGTTATCGTCATACTGTCATGAGTTATCGATGTAAAATATGGTTGCTTTACCTTTGTACCTTTCAGGTGACATGTTTTTTAAAGTTCTCTGCTGACCAGTTATGGTAATAAAGTGATCGAAGACTCTCAAAACTTTACTTCAGAAAGACATTTCTTAAAAGTTCATGCGAGAGTATCGCTTTGGGTCAGTCTATATATTACTTACCTAAATTTAGCTCTCCTCCGTAACTTTCCTTTGTGTCCACATCAAGGTTAGCCCATAACTTCTCTACCTGCTTTATAGCCACTTCACGATTTACCAGGTTGGTTCTAAACATACCAGGGTCCAAAATGTGAACAGAAACACCAAACTGCTTTACCTCTCGACGCAGAGAATCACAAAATGCTTGAACACCATGCTTTGATATGCAATATGCTGTTAGAGAGGGGAGCAAAATTGTTCCCAATGTACTAGCTACATTAACAATGCGTCCCTTGGTTTTCTTAAGCTGTGGCAAGAATGCCTTGGACACTGATACCATCCCCCAGAGATTGACATCAAGAACGTGCTTCATTTCTTCTACAGTCTGCCATTCAATAAGACCCCGGGCTATAATCCCAGCATTATTCACTACAGCCCACAAACCTAAAAGTACATCAAGACATGTTGTTTCAACTGCAAAAAACACTCATCGCATGTTTACTGCTTTCCTGGGCTGTTCCAGGCTCCGACATAGACTGGTCTGCGAAATTGAGAAAGTTCAAACACAAAAGAAAAACTCGGGAGAGGAAACTGGAAGGAAACTTTTTACTGTTACCCCCACCTTTTCCCAGATCACGCACCTATATTTTTGCGTGCACTTCACTTACAGGTCATCGCTACTATCTGAGAGCCTGGAACAGGCTACGGCTTTCCATGCGAATTTTATTACATCTTTACTATTATAAAAGTGCTTTCTTGGACGGCATAAAATTACATGCACTTGTTTGCGAGCTGCAGGTTCCTGAGTGGAAGGGCTTGGGACCAACCAAACCTCAGTGGGGGGCTATTTGGCCCTATATTGGTCCACACAGGGAGGTTCCTCCCAAAAGGGTACCTTTTTCAGGCCTCTCCAGGGGTTGACCCATATTTTATGGTAGTCTTCAGGGGTGAATACAAATTTAATGGAATTCTCCAAGGGTACGAGAAAAGGTGAGTCCTCAAACAGGCGGTAAGGTGATACAGATATTCAAAAGCAAAAGCTCACCAATATTTGATGAATGTCTTCAGATTAACTGGAGATGTCAGAGATGTGTGTAAACGGCGGCAAAAATCGGTGGCAAGAAATATTCAAGAGCTGTAATTTCGGTTCGTCAATGTTCGCAGAATCCTCCACTGTTTAAACGATTGCGTGTTCTTTTCACTTACCTTGGGGAGGGAGGTGGGAATTTACTTCTTTCAAAGCATTCTGCACGTCGCTCGCATTTGTAACGTCAAGTTGTAATGTGGTCAGTTGTCGAGAGCATTCACTTCTCAGCTTTGCTTGTCCGTCTGAAGTGAGACACCCAGCAAAAACCTGTAAACCTCGAGAATCGAGCTTCTTTGCGAGCTCGTAACCAAAACCACTGTCGCATCCCGTGATAAGAACGGCTTTCTTCTCCAAATCAGAAACAGAAACATCAGGGAACAAAAGGCAAGAAATGAAGTACAGCGTTACAACAAGAATTATCACCAACAGAAAGCCTTGAAGGGAAAACAAAAATTGAGGCAGTTCGCTAAACATGTCGGCTGAGACGGCTGGGCGAGTAGAGAAACCTAAGCTCCCAGGGGAAAAAGGAAGCATCTACGACGGTCACGCGATAATTTGACGCCGTTCAGTCACGCGAGTTCAAAGAAAGCAGTGAACGAAGACCAAAATGGAAATATTGATCTTTTTTTATAAACGTTATGTCTTCTTTATGTGTCGCATTTCTAAATGAGTACAATTGATTCTACGGTCTAGCCATTTCTTAGACTGCAAAACAGTCGGTTTTTTTTCTCAAAGTCAGTAAAGAAATCGGTAAAGCGTGGCGTAAGAGTCTTACGCGCGCGAGCCTCACACGCCCGTAGGGCGTGTGAGGCGAGAGCTCTCCCCAGTCTCGCTCTCTGTTTTCAGCCTCATTCCAGACCTTTTGTTTGACTGCTCGCGCGTACTTGAATACGCAAAAATACGGACTGTTTTGCAGTCTAGCCATTTCTAGGAGGGTAAAGATAGACCTTTCCTGGGTTATTTTTAGAGTGCGATCCACAAGGCCGACAAGATCTCCCGCCTGCGCTCACCACTCCCTCAACAATCCTGCTGCCCTTCATTACACGATCCACACGTGTCATGTAGCCTTATTGGATGTGACCACAGCTTATGGACCTGAAATAATTCAGGCTGGTAGCGTCTTGGTTGCAGTCCTCTGTATTGCGAATACAGCCGAACCTCTCGTAAGCGATCACCCAAAATGCGAACATTTAGTGGTCGCTTTAAAAGGCAGGTGGTCGTTTTAATACGATCAGAATCAAACTACAAGAGTCTCTCTCGAGAAGCAGGTTCCGAGATATCTACTTTTTGGTAAAGAACTGATTTCATGCAGCTTCTAAGTTACGATATGTGTAGTCACTTGTTGTCCCCGATCACTAAAAGTTCTTCGAATATTTTTGTTAGCGCAGTACATACTGAGAACATAGAGATGGGACAAGAGAGGTTAAAAACAATGGGAGATAATAAAATCGTCACCGTCAAAGTGGTCGCGGTCGCTTACCAAAGGTGGTCGTTAACTATAGCGCTTTGACTGAGGAAAATGTTGGTACTTTGCCGGGATATATGGTGGCTTGTAGCCTGCGTGGCAGGCGTTTTAGGCGCGCGAGAGCGCGCCCCAATTCCCTTCCCCTTCCCTTTCGAAAGCCTGCCACGCAGGCTAGGTGGCCTGTGGCAAGTGATCGCACATGGAGATTCGACTGTACAAACTGAGAAACAATGACACCTTTTACATTGCTTGAATTAAACATCTTACAGGGCAAAAACTACCAAATAACTTTCATTTTAGAGCTAAAAACCATTAGCAAAGTCAATAGGCCATTTCCGAGTTTCGAAAACCTCCACTTTTAAACGAGGCTTCATGCAAAACCTTTCTCGTTATAATGAGTTTTATTTGCATGAGAGTAAAAATCAATTTCATATCAATGGGTTCGTACTTAGCCTCGCTTTGAAACAGACGCTTGGGGGAACCCGAAAATGGGCTATATTTTGTGGGATGAGGGAAAGAGTAGTAGCGCTCTTTTTTATATATATATATCGTTTTAAAATTTAAGACTTGATAAACTGGGAAAAAAAACGCTGAAACGCTATCTGACTTACGCTCCGTGCAAACGGACGCAACAACGGCGTAGCTAAACGTTTGACCGGTTTTAAACTTTGCGCAACAACATGCAACAGGCTGCACAAACGGACGCAACATGTAACATCCAACAATGTTGGGAGTTGTTGGTCAACAATGTTGCGTCCGTTTGCACTGGTCTTTACCTTAGCTCAAAAACGTTACGAAGTAAACACTTCCATTTGCTCAGTCTTCTGTAGGCAGTAAAAACAGTTTGAAAACAGTGAATATATTTAACATTATTCTTAAAATACATATGTTTATGGAAATCTAGCCTAACACGAACGTCTAGTTAGGTCTGCTATATTGTCTCGGAAGTGAGTAGGCAGGGGCGTCGCTGGGGTTTGAGAAGGGGTGTTCGTACTGATACAAATATTTCTTAACAGCGGGAAATACTGCCAGCGCCAAAGACGCGAGCCTCTACGGGTTTCTTGGGGCAACTTGCTCCCCTAGAAAATGTTGAAATCTAGAAACCTGCAAATACTATTTTCAGTAGCCTCCACGTGAATATTCCAAACTCTATCAAGTGGAAAATAACAGGTACTTTTAGTCTTAACAACAATATTTCGGTTTGACTTGGAACATTCATACATAGTGATACATACGGTCACATGCATACCGGCTAAGTACACGAAACGTTTCAGTACAAAACTCGACGTGTACTGCAAGGTCGAAGCAGAAGCTTAAGCCCCCCAGTTCCCTGGCTCTGGTGTCTTTGTACTGAAAGCAGCGTCAAACGTCAATATGTATTAAACAAGTATCACCTAGGTCTCCCAAAATCGTATTCCCCGCCTTTCGTCTTTCGAGACTCCATTTGTCAAATCCGGAACGCCTGTTAAGGAAATATCTTCAATGGCGGGATTATTTCGACTACATATAATACTATAGGTCACTAGGATATACTGGGGCCACAACATGGGCTACTTGATTATCAACTCACAACAGGACCGAGCCTATCATGGACTATCAGGACTATCCTCCACCATTGACCTGTAAAGGGGGTTCGTTCGAACCCCTTGAACCCCCCCTCCTACGCGCCTGTACTAGGAATTGTCATCCACGGGTGTGGGTCTTCAAACAGGATTTCAAACACTTTGTAGCGATAAATGGCCATAGTTAGTCTATGGCTCCTGTCTGTGTTGAACGTTTGAAATTGCTTTAAAAGTCAACATGAAATAAATTATATATGAACGAGGCAGATGAAATTAAATAGAGAAATGACCATCGTAGTTTATATGCAAGCAATTAAACTGAAGAGAAGCCAGGCTTGAAGCATTGATATTTTTCGGGCATTTAATTAACTGTTGTATGAATTGCTTGCATAACTACCTTAACCATTTCTTCAATTTATATTTAATGGAAGATTTTTATTAGGAGTTGTCTTGGCTATAGCAAGGCTATAGGTTGGCTGACCGGGATAGATTGTCCAGTTTTTACCGTATTTCTAACCATAAAAACTTCATCCCAAAATATATCCATAACGCCTTAAACCTTTTGAATACCGAGGCGGCTATTGGAGGAAAAAGTTCCCGTGAACCATTTTGGAAGAAATTCCCAGTGCTGAGAAATACGGCTGCAAGTGAAATAGTTACTAGCGTCAATTCGTTGCTACAACAACTCCGATGTAATTGTAACCCTAATCATAACAAATTTTCATCTTTCTCTTATACAGCTGTGGTGGTAATTTTTGCAAATCTTTGTTAATGGCGATTGACCCTAAAAACCCCTATCGAGCTCCCTTAACCAACGACGACTACCACGGCAGTAAAACGTTCGTAAAAAGGAATTTGCGTCCTTTCAAACTTAATCTCGTCTATTTGGACCCCTTCAATTTGTCAAATGTAGGCTTTTTTCTAGAGCTGAATTCTAAAGGACTTTATCCAGGTGCAACGAGATAAAGGAAAAATTTTTATTTGGGCGTCGCCCAAATTTCAGGGCGGAAAAACGTTCTGCGCAAGCTTCTGCGCATCCCTTATCGCAGGCTCAAGGCGGGAATTTTCTGTGTGTTGACTGTGCTTGTTTGTTGCTGGAATTCTGAGTGAAATGCACGAGGGGCGAACGTTTGCTCCCTGTAAGCATTGTTATTTGACATGTTTGCTTTTTTTTCGTCGCTTGAAAATTACTTTGGATTCAGAACAACCAATGTTAAAGGAAAAACGGATCATTCCTTCTGTCTGAGGTGGAATAAAAGGTTTTGAACATTTCTAAAGAGGCGAGTATTTTTTCTGATTGTGCATCCGATTAATTTATGTGTTGATTTCGCCGGGTTGAATTAAAACCCGCTTGTATTCTGTTATTAGTAGTTACGGTTACTTTTTTTACATGCCCAGATTTATTACCTTTACAGAACCAGCTTTATCTTTGTCTTCGGTCAAAGAACCATATTGCTGTTATAACGCGTCAGAGTGAACAAACTTGTGCGCTTATTAAACTTTCTCGGAAATAGAAGGCCAGCAAGCTTACTCAAGATCATTTTTCTGTTGCTCAAGTAATAATAGTGAGAGTTTTTTTCATTTTTCATTACATAGTTTTGCTTTCCAGTGCACTGTGAAAGTTTCTGTTCCTTATAAGAATAACTTTCTGTACGCAAATTGTCCTTTTCACTCGCTGTGAAGTAGACAACGACAACTGCCGGCAGAGACGTCAAAACAATTGACTCTTCTCCCGTAAACAATTGCTGCAGCTGGATTTGACTGAGGCGAGCAAAACAAACCCCTATGTGCAATTTTCTGTATTTTCTAATGATCGGCTCAGTTTAATTTGCTTAAACGAAGACCCTCGCATGGACCGGTTAACCGTATTGAAAATAGCT